AACAACGTTACGTAAAATTTGATATTTCTACAAAATATTTTGTGTAAACCTTTTCCCTTAGAAAAAAAAAAAAAAAAATTCAAATTTAAATTCTAAGGGACCAAAGGCCAAAGTCTTTACCTTTGTAAGCCTCGTGAATCTTGTTCATTCGATAGTATCCCATCCAGGAGTATATCCATCTTGTGCCAAGAATAGGTAAAGAGAATGGACCTGGCACATCTCGTGCTGTTTTAAATGGCTTCCTATCCTTTTCTTCCGATATGCCTGAGAACGAACAAAAGCTATTGTCATTAAATCACATTTTGTACCTTTAAAACCTTTAAAACGATAAAATATAGTAACAATATCCCATAATCATTCTTAAATATTAACATTACACAATAATACATTATTACATTACAATTTTATAAAATAATATTAGAAAAATGAAGAATACATTATCATTTTATGATAGGATTTTTTTTTTTATTTTCTTTTTTTTTTTTACGTCAAAACCACCGGAAATATAAAAACGTTCGTCCAATGGTTAATCCTCTAAAAAGGTTCACGCTATTTCGTGAACCCTTTTCAATTTATGGTAGAGGATCTATTATAATTTCTTTTTTGTCTACTCAACCCACCGGAAATATAAAAACGTCTAATAATTCTCTAGTCGAGAAATAAAATAATAATAAGACGATCGTGTTGATCCCACCATGACTTGAAGAAGATTACGAAAAAAAAAAAAAAAAACAAACAAAGGGGGTCCATTATCATATAAATATTTGTTAGTCAAGCAACCGGAAATGGTATAAAAATCTAATAAGTAAAATTCCATGAAGAAAATCAACATAATATCACGTGATCCAGGAATTGTAAATTTATGCAAAGCTTAAGATCCATTATCATTTTTTCTTTTTTTTTCAATTTCGTTGATCAGAGAAGTATTATCGACTGGTTTTATAATTTAACTTCGCCATCGTTAAGCTAAACACATATCTATGTATATGTGTGCGTGTTAAATCGTAGATTATAAGTTATCATCGTATATAAGTTTAAACTCTATCATCATCCACAATTTTATCTACTAATGTTAAGTATATAAATAATTGGAGGAGGATGATAGTCGAATGAAAGAAGAAAACAAAAAAAAAGAAATAAAATCGTATAAGATATATATATGTATTATAACGTGACGTATGTGTTGGTAGACGTAGAAGAGGAAAAAAAAATAATTACGAAGAAAGGAAAGAAGAAAGGAAGATAGAAAGAGATAACACGTGCCAACGAATTGAGTAAATGAGGAAATAATAATACATACACATATACTAGTATAAGATCACACGAAAACATAAGCGTAATATTCATTTTGTCACATATATATATATATATATATATATATATATATATATATCATTTAATATTATATATATATATATATAATATTAAATGATAAGCTTCAGATAAAAATCTAGTTATCGGTCGACCTTGATACGATCGTCTAATCGTTTCATTGACCTTTTGCGTTATATGTATAATTATGATATATATATATTTATATAGTAAGTATGTAATGCATGTAACGTACTACACACATACTACACACATACTACACACACACACACACACATCTCATCTAGTTTCTCATTTACGTCACTTCGATAATATGTGTAACACGAACTTACTACGCGTTGAAACTTTCAAATTTTTACTATGTCATGATATTATCTTTTTCATTTTTTTTGTTTTTTTTTTTTTTATTATTCATTTTATCTTAAAATTTTTTTTCCTAATTTTTCCATACTTTTCTTTCATTATATATTATATATATATATATATATTTATATATATCTTTATTTTCTTTCTATGACAAATTTATAACTACTCGATTGAAAGGGTAAAGATATTTATCAGATCCGTTATAGATATCATATGTTAGAATATTGCAAATACGAGATAGATCCTTGAGAAAGAAAATATCTATTTTAAAAGTAAAAGAATGTATATCTGGTTATATGTTATTCGTGATTGAAACATGTACGATCGATCAAAACGAACAAAATAGTAAGAATTAAGAATAGTTTACTTTAATGATAATTAATTGCAAAGTAAATTGATTAAATGTAACCATAATTATAAAAGTGATTTAAGTCAAAATGAAAACAAAACAAAAACAAATTGAATTTATCAATTATTACGCTCACCACCACATTATATTAAACTAAATAAATTCAATGTAATTTGAAAATGATATTGTCAAAAATGAATCGTTAATGTTTGTTATTTCAATATTATATAGAAATCACATATAATATTCAAATATAAATCTGTAAATATCTCATATCTTATAATTTAGATCACTTTTATAATTATGAGCACAAATATGAAACAATTTTGATGAATCTTAATTAATATCAGGTTGCTGTGATCGACGTGTATTATACGTACTTTTTGTAACACAAAGATATTGTCATTTAATTTACTGACGACGTATACTCGTCGATCAGCAGAATTCATGTTTTTAATTAAATTGAAATATATGATATTGATAATAATAAAAATAAATAAACTTACCATTAGATTTATGAGTAGTTCCGGTCCAGAACCACCAAGGTGGTCGATAACTAGTAGCCAGAAGTAAAATAGTGAGAAGTGTTGCTGCTATTACTTCAAACCAAGCACCGGAGAGTAACATCTCGAGACTCTCTAATGTCACACCTGTGAACGAATGTTCAAAGGAAAGGAGAAGAAAAAAAAAGAAGATATAATAATGAAATTGAAGAAAAAAATAATAATGTAAGAGTAAAGAGCAAAAAAAAATAACAACCGAGCGGAAGAAGAATAAGATAAGGGAGTGAGAAAAAAAAAATGATAAGAGTATAAAAAGTATGGATGATAATTTCAAAGAAGTAGAAGAAAATATAAACATGTAAGAATATAAATTATTACAATTTATGTGTACCCTTTATAAACTTTCATACATTATTTATCTTCATTTTGATAACTCCTGTCTTTTTTTAATCTACTGTCACCTTTTTTACAAATGATATATTACACCGTATAATTATCTACGAATAGAGATACAGATTAATGGAAAATAAAGTTAATGGATTAAAAATTAAGTAAGAAAGTACTAATGAATTTTAAACTATTAAAAGTACTTTCACATTTATAATTAATTCAATTCTCTTTCTCTCTTCTTCTTCTTCTTCTTCTTCTATTTCTTTCGAAAATAATTCATCAATAATTCATAACTCATACAAATGATTATAATAATAATAATTATAATTACATTTTATATATTAATTATATTATTAATTAAATGCATTTTTATTCATTATAATATAATTAATTATATTATTAATAATATTAATATATTATTATATATGAATTATATTATTAATTAAATGCATATTTCATATTTATAATTGTATAAAATAAAATAAATATTAAAAAAGAAACAATACTGAAGCAAAGTAAAATCCTTGTGTAGCCTTTCTCAGTTTAATAATTAATATATTTCAAAATCTTGCACTTTTTCTTAACTATAATTGGAAAGTCTCTTGTAAACGAGATACACGTTTTAAACGTATCCCACGTATTGATAGAAAGAGAGTATAATATATATATATATATATATATATAGAAAATATTATTATGAAATGAGATAAAGAAAAGAAAACAGATTCATGTGCAGCCTTTCTCCGCATTAGTATTGTTTTTTTCTGTCTTTTTCTCTTTCTCCTCCCTCTCCCCCTTTCTCTCTCTCTCTCTAAATAGTTGGAGAGACGAATCAAATGGAATGCAGTGCATACACACATACATATATATATATATACACGAATGTATAAGGGTAATACACGCGATAAAGAAAAAGAGAGGCGGGATAAAGGGCGAAAAAGTGCACGCTGCATATCATGTGTGTGTGTGTATTGTGCATATGTATAATGGTGTATGTGATTGTCTATGTATCCTCCTCCTCCTCCTCCTGCTAGTCTCCGTTTGTCACATTGTACGTCGTGTCTGTCTCTCCTCTTGTTCTTGCAACCGAACGATTACGAGTGTGTGTCCCACTGTTATTTGCGAAGAGAGATTCTTTTATTTACGATGCGCCGATAACGGCGTGTCATCGCGTTGACTCCCGTTCACCACCACCACCACCACCAATGTGACGACCAGCCAGACAAGGAGTAAAGAAACAAGAGGATTCAATTGGTTTTCTTTCTTTTGCAAATTTTTCGATCGATTTACTACTAATTGTCATATACGTTTTTTATTATCCATTTCTCGTCTCTTCGTAATCGTCATCGGGACGAGCGAACCAATCATAACGACGATCGACCTATCCCTCCCAATCTTATTTCTTTTTTTAATCAACTTATCATTTCGTTATTATAGATTTTTATCGCGAACATATTTTATGTATCATATCGAAAGAACAATGAAAGTAACATTTTATCTTCCCTAGTAGCACAAAATATTGACAAAATATTGACAAAATATTGAATACATGTGTATTTAATATTACAAAGTCATTAAATCTCTTTTTATAATTATAAATAATAATATTATTAATTAGAATATAATTATTAATGATATTAATATTGAAAAATATTGAATACGTGTGTATTTAATATTAACAAGACATTAAATCTCTTTTTATAATTATAGATAATAATATTACTAATAATATTAATTAGAATATAATTATTAATTATATTAATATTGAAAAATATTGAATACATGTGTATTTAATATTAACAAGACATTGCATCTCTTTTTATAATTATAGATAATAATATTAATAATAATATTAATTAGAATATAATTATTAATTATATTAATATTGAAAAATATTGAATACGTGTGTATTTATTATTAAAACGACATTAAATATCTTGTTAATATTAAATACACATGTATTCAATATTTTTCAATATTTTGTGCTACTAGTTTCCTGTTTGCTTGCTTGCTTGCTTGCTTGCTTGCTTGCACGGTTGCACGATTGCATGGTTACATGCTTGTTTGCTTTCTTCAACTCGTAGATATATTTTCAATGTAATAACGTTAACAACAGATGCTACTTATATGTTATCAAAATATTTATTAAAACAATGAGAGAGAAGAAATCAATAAAGAAACTTATATATATGTATGTGTATCTTTATGTGTTTGTTTGTATTACATATGTTCGATTTCTTCCTGGTTCTTCTCCTTCTGGAAAAGATCGAGAAACATAAGCAAGTTATAATAATGCATATTATCGCATTATGCTTGACCTATTTGTCGATCACACGACGACTATTTATGTCCTATAATATATTATATTTCGATAAGGACTTTATGCACAAATGACTGAACTTGCGGAGATCATCGAAAGGGAACATAATAAACGTCGTACGATTTTTTCCTCCCACCCTCTCTCTCTCTCTCTCTCTCTCTCTCTTTCACTGTAATTATAAGAATTTTGTCTTCTTTTTTTAACATCAAACAAAACGAACGAATTCTTCGATAACATCATATATGATAAGGATCAAAATTCGGAAGTTATTATTATTATTATTATTATTGATCGACAAGATTATCTATCATCAACAAGCTACCGTTTATGATAATCGAATCTAACAACAACACTTTCGCGTTATCATTCGACTTTGCACGCGACGATCAAACAGATTATTCGATTCGAAGATGAAATAATTATTTAAAAAAAAATAACACGTCTAATTTATTTGATTGTTGTTTTTTCTTTTTATATTTTCTTGTCTCTAACACATCGAAAATAACATAAGAATTCAATCGTCGATAAGTTGTCACGCTAACTTTCTAAATTGCTTACTTTTCCATTAAAGTTGCTGGTAACAAAAAAAATATGGTGATAGGTGTACAAGAGTACATGTGCATTTACCTGTACATTAGAAAGTATTTAGAATATTTAAGAGAGAGAAAGAGAGAGAGAGAGAAAACAAATTAGAAATAAAAATATCCTAGTAGTTCTATTAATTTACATATTATGATGTTTTTCAAATCGTCTCAAGAAAACACGTATTAATTAATTAATTGACATATGTAAGCAAGCAAGTGTACAAACAAATGAAAGAAAAATAAAAGATTAATTTAATACGAATTGGATTTAAATGTCGATCGATTTCTAAATAACGTTAGATCGTTTTTAATCAACGAATAATGTAAATTAATTTATTCGAACGAAAGATCGCGTTATCTTGTAACCAGGTAAACTCTAATTTTTGATAGGAGGGATTCCTTAATTTTTTTTATTTTTTTTTTTTTTCCTTTTAACGTAACATTATTTATTCAAAACGGTACTTTGGATCTACAAGAAAACGATCGTATAAGAGGAATAAAAAAAAGAAAAAAGTATCGTTCGATTCGAACCCAAGCCCGTTCGTTCGTCGAGACAAATTCAATCTCGTTTATTAGCCATATAAATAGCGTCGGCATTCGATATCTTCGAAAATTTACGAGCGAAAACAGCGAGGCTACTAAGTTCCCTTCTGTATTATTATATAGAGAGACACATACACAGAGTGTCGAACGAGCAGCAAAGAACGATTACGAAATTCCCCTCACGGCTAGCCGGTAGGATCTCTCTCGACGGCCTTGCCAATTTGCTGAGTATATCTAGGGATTATAATATTTGATGGCCGATATACATATGTGTCGAGTAATCGGCTCAATATCTCGCAATTAGGACGGTGAAAAGCAATGCGAGTGAGAGATGATGATACACCACGTCAAGCTTTCGGGCCCGAGCAATATCGGCGACAATACATAATATTCAAACACATTATGCAATATACGAAACGCGTTCGATAATACTACTATCTCATCCTCCTAACTTTATCGATTTTATTTTCTTATTTTTTAATTTTTTTTTTTTAAACGATATATTTTTAATAAAAAAAAAATAATAATAAGTTGTATTTTTTGGATATAATAATGTATGTTAAATAAGTTAAGCAAGTCTCGAGCTTTTACGATAATTTATAAATTATATATAATTATATATGGTCGATGGTATATATGTACTATATATGTATATATATATATATATATATATAGATATAAATAATAATAATAATTGGAGTATAAATGATAATTTACAAATGAGACACTTACCCAGTCTATAAAAAGTGTCGTCGTGAGTGCAATTAATGGACAACATGTTAAAGATATATTTACACGTCACTTCGTTTAGCAATTTGTAATACGTCTAGTATAATGTCAAATATTTTATACGTCAAAATATGAAATTGAAGTTTAGGAGTAGGAAAAGAAAAGGACGAAGGTGGAGGTAAAGGTGAAAGAGTAGGAGAAGGAGGAAGTGATAGAATTTCGCAAATAAGAGTAACAAGTAGTACACGTTTGTTTAATGGGAATAAGAATAGAGGAATAATAAACGTAAGTAAGTAGAACTTAGCCGATAGAAACTGAACGAACTCCGTTGACTGTAGTATCGTCGTCATTGCTGCCAAAAGAAAACCTTGTCAACTGACATTCCTCCCCTTTTATAAATCCCGTTAATAATGTTAACGTTCTCTCCGCACCGCGAAACTCAATAATCGCAATTTACTCTTAGGGAGAAGAACTCTCGCGCGGTTTCGATCGTCGTATTACATAACGCGAGTTGAAAGCCGGTCGCTTCCTTCTCTCCAATATATATATATATGTGTGTGTGTATATGTGTGTTTGTATCTATCGATTATCGACTAAACTTCTTAAGGAATAAACTAGTAAACTCGATTAAATCTATTCAAATTTATTCTAATTTATTCTAATTTTAATACATCAATTTATTTTAATTTCGTTCGATAAATGTTACAGATAATTTTTTGTTTCTTTTTTTTTTTTGGATCAAGAATGAATAAACAATGTAATTAATTATGAAAAAACCATGACGTGATGATGATGATGATGACGATGACGATGATGATGATGATGATGATGATAGTAATAAAAAAAAAAAAAAAAGAAATAATTCAAGGAAATAAGAAAAGGTACTTACGGTAAAAAAAGTTGGGCAGATACGATCTAATGAAGAAGAGGAAGAAGAAGAAGTAGAAGTAGAAGTAGAAGAAGAAAAAGAAGTTGAAGAAGAACGACGACCTCGGAAGAAGAAGAAGAAGAAGAAGAAGAAGGAAAAGAAGAAGAAGCTTACTCTCTTCGTCCTCTTTGTGAATTACGAGTCTCGATTAATTCCCAAGAAGTTGGACGACGAGGAGAACGAGAAGACACTGACACGCTGAGGACGATCCACGGATTTGATAGTTCCGGTATTATACCGATCGAATATATCGATCTGATAAAATCAGCAAGTACCGTTGTTGATTATGTGAACGAACAACAGCAGGTATATATGAGGTAGTAAAAGTCTCGAGACAACAAATTTTGCCCCGACGAAGATTGCTACTTGAAGTTTAAGTACAACACACAAAACTATCGCGAAAAAATTAACTCGCGCGTTTCCCAAAAACTTTGGAAGGCGGAAACGGAACAAGAATAAGAATAATAAGAAGAAGTCGAAGTCGAAGTTAAAAAAGACGATGTCGTATATATGAGGGAGACCAAAAAGGAAGAGGGGGTTGTAAAGAAAAAATGGAGGGGAGAAAAGGATGAGTTTGCTTTTTGGAGAACGGGAGAAAAGAAAAATGAAGTCGAAGAATGAAAGAAAGAAAGAGAGAGAGAGAGAGAGGAGAGAGGGGGCAAAAAGGGAAAAGAAGAAAAGGAAGAGGAAGAAAGGGTTGGAGGGGTTGAAGGTAGAGGTGGAGGTGGAACAGGAGGAAGAGGAGGAAAAGGATGAGGAGCAGGAGGAGGAGAAGGAGGAGGAGGAGAATAGAGGCGCGTGTCCGTCGAATCGAAAGAGCGTGCCACGATTTACGCGCCGCGATTTACGCGCCACGCGTACCCGAGATGGGCATTTGATGGCCGTTAATTGTTCGACGCTCGATCATGCCAGCCGATCGATCGATCGAGCCCCGACTCTCTCCTCTCTGTGTTTCAGAGACGAACGGAGCACACCGCCGTTCTGAGATGCTTGCCCGGCGCCTCTTGTAATCTCTCTCTCTTTATCTCTCTTTCTCTTTCTCTTTCTCCTTCTATCTCTCTCTCTTCCACCCCCTCCTACTCCTCCTTCTCCTCTCCCCACCCGCCCTTTTACTTCGCCCGACGAATCACGAGACGCTCGGTTTCTCCGTGTAAAAGAGAGAGAGAGAGGAAGAGAGAGTGAGACCCACCCCTCCCCTCTACCCAATTCTCCCTCTCTCTTTCTATCTTATCCCTTCTATCTTTCTCTCTCGTAGTGTGTTTACATCTACCGTCGTTACCCTGGCAGACCCTACGACGACAACGCGACGAGGACACGAAGAAGAAGACGAGGACGAAGAAGATGAGGACGAGGACGAGGACGAAGAGGACAAGAGAGCACGCACGGCGACGCGACAGGCCGCCACGCCTGGTGGGGGATAACTGAAGACCGAGTGGGGGACTCCCCAGTTCGTTCATTGGTCGAATGATCGAAAACATTAAACTACCGACAGATGGCACTCTTGGTACCCCACCAAAGATCGATAGCCCCTAACGTTTGAATACTACTTCTTCGTATCGCTTCAAAGCTTCTTTCCTTCCTCTCTTTCTCTCTCTCTTTCTTTATTTATTTCTATAATATCTTTCTCTTATTTTATTTCGTGTATTTTTTTTTTCAATCTTCTTTCTGCATCGCATAATTATCTGTTGTTTCATTTTATTTATATTTTAATGTTATTTGTTTGTTTGTTTTTTTTCAGTTATCAATGGTATAATATTTTTCAACGAACAATTGTTTTCAGATTTAGGCCTTAAATTTCTAATCGGATTAACTTGATTTTCTTCGTTAAAGAAAAAAAAACCATTAGAATTACCATAATTATATATATATATATATATATTTGATATGTTATATTATATTTTTGAAATGTTTTCTAAATGAAATTATCGAAGAATCGATATAGATTCTTCCTTTTAGAATTTTATATTAGGTTAAAACGTAAACCTGATCCTTTCTCTTTAAGAAGGACCAGCTCGAAATTTGATATTTCTATCGTGTCCTTCCAAGCTATAAAGGGGTTGTGTTGTAGTCGCTCCAACGAATCGGAACCGACCCTCGAAAGAAGTCGATCTTAAGATTCTAGACGGTTCTAGGATAGAGGTGATGCAATATCCGTAGAAGGACAAGTTCTCTCGAGTAGCTTGTCTAATAGGGGAAAGAAAGAAAAAATATATCAGTACATAAAGGGAAAAGTAAAAAAAAAAAAACATTGGAGAGAAATAAAAGGAGAATTCGGACCGGAAGACACGTGAACTGTACGCGTGATAAATTTCTTCGAAAAATTAACAAACTAAACGAACAGACAACGTTAATTAACAAAAAAGACAATAATAAACAACTCGCGTGATCGGTTTATTAATAATCGTAATGATTGTAATAAAAAAAAAAAAAGAAACAATACTGGTAGAGGTTGTAAATAATTTCTAATAAAGATTCTATATTCGCAACGATCAACAACGCAATGTGATCCCAAATAAAAAATGATCTAGGATAAAATTCAATAAGCGAAACCTCGAAATGAATAAAAAATAATAAAAGCAGAAAAAGGAAAAGGAATAAACATATTACGACACAAGCTTGTAACAGTAATATAGTGTTGATGACGAAGAAGGCATTGAAGGTGGTCTCTAGCGTGCTCGCGCGCTCTCGCATGCTCGCAGATACTACTACCACCAACTAGTTATAAGATATATATATATATATATATATATATATATATATATATATTATAATACATATACATAGAACGGGACTAGGAGGTATAGGATAGGATAGAAGGAGAAGAAGGGAAATGATGTAGCTTCTATCGCGCTTATAGCGGGCGTGAACACGCGGAATGAGACGTCGATTGGAACTCGTTTTGAATCGAACGAAATAAAACGGTCGCGAGAGCAACATCGAGAGATACGCTATGGTATACGAGGAAGTGTACTTTCGTACCAGAGCTACACACAGAGTATAGAGTCACTGAATACGAAGAGCTCCAACAGTAGAATGAAATGAAGGAACAACTGCTGGAGCAAGAGGAAAAGGATGAACAAGATGCGAAGGAGATGGAAGGAGTAAACGAACAGGATGAAGAAGATGAGGAGGTGGATGAGGTGGTTATGGGGGTGGGGCGGGAGTCGAGTAGGGTGTGGGTTGGAAGAGTAGTCTTAAAAGATTCTGAAGTAGAGAATACTATTTTTCGGAAGATTGAAGTTACTTTTTCGCGCCAGAACGCGCTCTGCTCTTTTACCTTTCGATCCTCTTCAAGGCCATTCGAAGGGCACGAATAAACGAAGGAAGGACGCTATCGGGTTACGTAAAATCTCTCGATTTTGTAACTTTTTAAAATAACTTCTTCCCTTGTTCCTTTCTGTAAGCAGTTTACCGTTTATCGGATTGCCCGGAATATTCGGTCAATCATTTTTAAAAGAACATTCATTGACGTTCTTTTGAACTTGTCTAATCTAATTTTTATATATCTGTAATCAAAATAATGATTAGATTGCAGCACGAATACGACGAGGAAGAAAAAGATGGATCCAATACGAGAGACCCAATGAACTCTCCTCAGGCAGGGTCTCTAGCGTTGCACTGTCCGAGATGCTTTACTGCAATCTCCGGTGTGCTGCGATACCGTGAGGTAATGCAAGTACCGAGGATATAAATCGCAATCCCACGGGCGTACATTCCATATTGTTCCCCCTAATAAACTGGGATAAGCCGAACGCGAAAGCCAAAGACTATCTTTTTCTCTTCTTCTCTGTCTGTCTGTCTGTCTCTCTCTCTCTCTCTCTTACTTACACGCGCAAATAGCAAGGAAAAATAAATTCACGCGTACGGATACGGTGGTAATTTAACTTCCATTCGATTTCGAATCTATCTGTCTTCCTTTTTCTATCTTTTTACATGTAAGACTCTTTTTTTCTCGTTCTAAGTAAGGAAGAATAGTTTCTTATGAGACGATAAAACATTAAACGCGATAAAATACCTTCCTTTCGTTCTTCTCTCTTAATTAGTTAGATTTAAGATATTATTATTTATATTATCAAAATATAAAGAGAACGTTACGTAATTTATATTTTGTTCTTTTTCTAAATACGAGATAAATAAAGTAAGTTATCATTCCGAAGAGTTAAAGAGCTTGCACAAGATGTGTCCCTTGAGAAAAAAATGACAAAAATATGCGATTAGAAATGATAAATCGAATGCGTAAGAAAGCTCGTGTCGCGATTCTTCGAGTTTTGACGGATCAACAGAGAACAACAACGATGACAACGACGACAACGATTCGCTAACATCTGCTTCTCTCTCAGCCACGAAATGGGCGCTATAAATAAAAGAATGAAAAAGGGCAAATGAGCGTGCGTGTCTCACGTGAAGCAAATAAGAAGGCTACTCGTATCTTCTTGGACTTTACAGCAGGCTCCCTAATAAGACTCAGAGACACACGAGGTCGCCTCCAACGAAATGTTAAGTGGATCCGATTCTTCTTCTTCTTCTTCTTCTTCTTTTTCTTCTTTCTTCAACGAATATCTAAGAATTTAATCTTTTAATGTAACTCAACTTTCTCTTACTCTGTCTTTCACTCTCGTGTAATTATTTCTCTACTTAACTATCTAGAAATGTAATCGTACCGATTGATAATATAAATCGATTTAATGTATAATCTCATATAATCAAATATTATTAATTCTTGAATGTATGTTATTAGAAAGAATTGTTAACAATTATACAACCATTTAATTGGTTAGATATAAATTTTCATTATTTTGATGTCCTATTAATTTATAGATTTAATCGTAGATCATGATCAAATGTATAACACGATTTTCTAAAATATATTTTGAAGGATATTTTCGTTAATATTGAAAGAACAAAATTAGTAAGCATTGTTTTAGTCCCCATTATTATCTTCTTTGCAACTTGGTTGTATAATTTAAAACGTCAATGAACGACGTATATATACGAACAATGAAATTGATCGAAGGTCGTCTGTTGAAGAAAAAGAATGGTCTCTCTCTCACTCTCTCTCTCTCTCCGGTTGATCGTTGCCGACGCACGTGCGTTTACACGAGACTCCTTCTTCTTCACGGCTTGGTCCTAACGATAGACCAAATAATATCGCACGAGGCTAAACTTGAGAAGAAGGAGAACCAGCAGCCCTTTGTAATATCGTACGACCTCGACGACATCGTCTGACTGACATTTTGCTACGTTGCGAAATACGTACTTCTTTCTTTTATATATGCATATCTAACAATACAAAATATTAATTGATTATATTATAATAAATTATTGAACACGGAAATGTAGAAATGCGGAAGAGCTTAAACTTCCACGATTCAAGCAATATAACTTGATCGTAATTATCTAAGAATTCGGTATTTCGATATACATTTTACTTTAGCACTTGTGTAACATTATACGTGGGTTTAAAAATAAGAAAATGAAATTGACAAAAAAAACAGAGACCAAATCTTCTCTCTCTCTTTCTCTTATTTCACTGATATTGCAAAATAAATAATTATTTTTTTGTCGCGACTCGAAAGCACATTAAAGCAAAGTATGATAATAATACTCGATAGACAAAGCGAACATAATCCAACGAAATAAATGAAATGCTATCGAATATAACATTGATATCAATATTTTTTTCAAAATACTTGATACGTTATCGTTATATCTTCACGTATGACATGTGTGATATAGAAGTTACGAAGTTACATTATAAACGTAATAATAATAATAATAATAATAATAATAATAATAATAATAATGTTATTAATACTAAAAATAATTAGAAAGAAAAAAAAAGGAGATAATATTACTAAACAAATTTGTACGCTATATTTGAAAAACATTCATTTCAATGTAAATAATAAGAACTCTAAATTACCATAAACAAACTGTTATATTATAAAACAATGGTAAAACGCAATAAGACGTTACACGCCAGATCGTAATTAAAAAAAAAGAACAAAAATGTAATAAAACAGATATAAGAGTATTCATTTCGAAGTTACGTATGGCTTTATACAGGGTTAATTATACAAACATAACGGTATGTTCTCGTGAATGAGTTTTACAAATATTACATTTATCGTATAATTATTATTCTTTCTCTCTCTGTATGTTCTCTTGTTTAAACAATTATTTTGATTGACAATTATTTCTCAAATGATACAGTTGTTAATCAAAGAAACAAAAAATCAAATGATTCGGAACGGGACACCTGTCGATTAGAAATTTCTTTCTATTTCTTTCAAATAATAAAAAAAAAAAAAAGAAAGAAGCAAACAGGAAATATCATATCGTATAACGGCGATAATAAAAACGTACCGAAAAAAATACTTTCAGTTGGCATAGAGAGAAAAAAAATAAATGTCGATTCGGTCATGGAATTCGATATCTTTGTCAAAGAACCCGCGAAGTTGTTCGATAAGCATGCGCGAAAGCTTGTTCGTAGCACTCCAGGCGTACACACAGCTATCGGAACAGGTGTACGAATGTATATACCAACACAGACGGTCGACCAACCAGGAAGCGATCACGGACAACTGGTCACTCTTCGGAATTCTGTCCGATGCGATTACACGTTCCCACAGCCCGTTTTAAAATCGACATCCTCCCCACGCAAGAACTCGCGCGAATCTTTTACCATGTAATAGTTGGTAGTAATAGTAGCAGTAGCAGTAGCAGCAGTAGTAGTAGTAGTAGTAGTAGTAGTAGTAGTTGTGTGTCATTAAACCTCGAATTTCCAAGCCCGGTTATTTACACCGTTGTTACATCAAGAAGAAAGAAAGAGAAAGAAAGAGAGAGAAATAAAAAAGATGATATCGTATTCTTTACAAAATTACAACCCATATCCTTAAATCTTTTATTCGATGAGAGAAATGAATGTTTATAAAATATACGTCAAAGTATTACTGTTATATTTAATAATATTGAATAAAAAATATAAAATTATAAATACGTACTGTAACATCCAATGTAATTAACAGGAACGTTCTTCTTCCCTTCCTTTTCTTTCCGTTTGATTGTTTTTTAACCGCACACGGTATTATTGAAAACAAATGGAAGTACTTCGGCGAAGATATCGATATTAGGATCTAGACTACGGCCGAGCCCCTCGATCACTACCATACTGAGAATCACGCTGCTAAAGGATCCGTCCTGCTTCACCCGGTGACGAACCATCGCGGAAAATAATTCAGACACAACGGTACTTACATTCACCTGCAAAGGTTCAAACAACCGCTCAAGAAAAAGTCGTTGCACCTTTACTTCGATATTACTCAACTTATTGTTTGATTTATATTATATTATTTATCGTGCATTTTCTTTTTTTATTTTATTTTTTTTTTTATTTTTTTTTTTAATTTAATTTGTCATTTAAATTTATATTATTGTAACAATGATAATTATAATAATAATTTTTTCTTTTCTCATTGCGAGTTATCGGCAAAAGAAAAAAAAATGAACTTACAAATGATTAATAAGGAAATCTTACGTTAGTTAAATTAATTTGATTTTTAAGATAATTCGTCACTATGTCGTTCATCGTAGTTTTGAAACCATCTGGATCTGGTGTCATATGCAAAGAATGTTCCAATATATATTCCGCTGCGAGTTCACCCTTTAACGAAATAAGCAGAAAGTATTATTCAATAATGAATATAATATTGTATATGCAAATGCAAACACACACGCTCACGCACGTACACGAGCGCACATACATACATTTCCCATCAATACCGATCGAAAGACATCTCGAAGATTTTTTCGACATCGGTCGTTCAGGGATACCACCAAACCACAGTCGAGTATTACCAGTCTCGGATCATTCTCCGTATAATCAGAGCTAATGACTCTCAAAAAAAGATCAAGAAAAGTAGATGTCGGTTTCTTTACTTCCTGAACCAAAATGTTACCCGGGTGGAGATCGCAATGTATAAAATTATCGTTGAATACCTGCGGTGGACAAGAAAGCGTCTCTTTATATTGGTAAGAAATTATTTCAAAGAAGGATCCTCGAATGTGCGTGCATGTCTGCATTTTATTTCACTCACCATTTTAAGAATCATCGTAATACCCAATTTCGCCAATTTACGTTGTACATTATTATTTTTATAATCGAAATAATCGGATATAGGTGAGCCCTCGTGAAAAGTTTCAACCAATATCTTGTTACGCGTATATTCCATGTAAGGTCGAGGAAATGTTATTTCGTTCCTTTTCAAAAAATTATTGCTAAATTTAATCAAATTATATGCTTCCAATCTCAAATCGACCTTCGTAAAGAAAATTAAACCAATAGGATTATAATTTATATCCAAAAAATACGATTATTAAGTTAACTATTTACTTGTTGTTCCATCATCAATGAAAATTCATCGATACAATCGGTTAAACTCAGCCAATGTAAATCCGGTACTAAATACGTGATGAGTTTACTAATCATTCGCATTATCTTCAAATCTCTCCTATCAAAAATAACAAATATATATATATATATATATATATATATATATATGTACATATGCAGTTATTTTTATTATCTCTTTTATTTTATAAATAAAAAAATATATAGAATTATATTTATAATATATATTCTCATACTTCATATGACTTTTGATACCAGGATGAAGGACCTTAACGGCAACTGGCTGCAATTTTCTACCAATTTGATCAATCTTTTCGTGTTCCTCTCTGGTCAATATTTTCTCTAAGATTGTTATTGCAAAATGTTACACGAAAGCAATTTCATTTAGACCATTTTCTCTCTTTCTTTCTCTCTTACCCAATAAAGTGAAGAAGTGTCCCATATTTAAATATTCGATAGCTGCAAAATGGTAATATTATTATTAATCTCATTTCTATTTTCCGCATCTATAAAAATATCATTTTCTACGTTACTTTCAACGAAACGCGATAGCCGAGGTTCTTGTATCCTTTCCGCATGAACGTTGAGATCAACCCACGCCTTGTAAACCTGCGAATCGATAAACAACCGATAAACAAATATTATTTATGTTGTATGCAATACAATTTAATATTAATTAAAAGATAGTTTTTGATTTGATTTTTTTTTTTTATAAAGATAAAAATGAAAGACCATTAGAAGTAATGTTTTACCTCTGTACCTGGGCACAACATCCCGAACCAATTGGAGTATCGTCCTCAAATTTGACAAAAATGTCTCTCCAATTTGGTCCGTAGGTTGCTTCGAGTAAACTTTTAGTATACAACCATGAATGACGTGATGCATTATGTTGTAATTGTACGAGAGAATTACAAACATTTTCGGGAAATAGATCCTTTCTCGTTGACATCCATTGACCAAATTTGATAAAAGTCGGACCCAAGAATGTGATTACTAATTGAATAAATAAATAATATATTAAATAGAATATTTAATAAAAAAAAAAAAAATTAACATTTATTATATAATAAACAATATACGATAAATAAATATACATAATATTTAAAAAATGAAAAATAAAAAGATATAAAGTAATGAAATAAAATAATTGGATAAATGCGGTTAAATCTTGAAATTACCTTTACGAAGGATAGTCGGAAAAACTTGGGAGTTTGTCAGTGGGATTATTAAAAAGGCGGTGGCCAAGATAATGGCGGCTAAGGTTATGACCACGAGCCTTGCGATTATCAAAATTGCTTCGGCTGTACCGCTAAAGAAACCCCCGTTGTTCTCATCGGTTTTTACGAGCGGACGAAAATATCTTTCCTTATTTCCGACCTTCGACTCGTGGGAGATCGTAAATATCAAATTAAAAATGATCCTACTTCTGAGATTAAATTTATCGAATCGATTTATCCTCGAATCATATCGATTCTCCCTTCGCATATCGAACTTCGATTTATTTCCCGTGAAACCGCCATTTTGATATCTTGCAAATCTCAAAACGTTGAAAATTCTTATAATCTTTTTACTTACTTTAAACATCCTTTATCTGCTATGTTCAATCTATTTTTATAAATATTTTTCAGATTAATATTTTTAATATATGATTATTAATATTAATAATAAAATATTATATGATAAATGTGATTGATGTTACAATGATTAATACCAAAATTGACAATATTTGATTATAGTAAATAGATAATACTTATAATCAAATATATTTTTATGCACCCTGTTGCAATTTATAATTTTATAATTATAATTCAATCCTTTGATATAACTCAACTCTTATTATTAATAATAACCTTTGTTAAACATATATCAAATTCTTATACAATTATATTTCGAACATATAGCAAGCAACCATAAGAATCTTGACATTCTCCAATTTCGGTTTTTCACGGTAACATATTTATGTATATTTTCTTTTATTAAATACTAACTTTTATTGAAAAATAAAACAATATATTAATCTTATAACTTATTTTATGTTTTTCAAATTAAATTACGAACCTTAACGTCATCAATTCAGTCGTCGTATTCAAATCCATGATAATAAATGTCACGTATTACAAAATTAATCTTATCATTCTTTTGATGAAATCTTTATCGTTTGATTATTTTCTTATATAAAACTATAATCGTAATACACTTTTTTTATTAATTATAATTTACACGAAATTACCGAAATAATAACTGATGACTTGAATGCATGTATAAATAAAAATGGCGCCTCTCTCCTCGATGTTTAACTGTGATTGACAATTTTTATAAAATTATTGTTTTAAAATTGTAATTTTAAAGAGAGAAAAAAAATAATAATAAAATTCTCTTTGATGAATATTTTTAATGACATTTAAATGAAAAATAATTAATTTTAATATATAATTAATAGAATTTGGATCTTGATCTTTTTTGAAAAGGATGAATGTAATTGGTCATTTCTGTTGTAGCTTAGTATCCTTACAAATGATTCGTTCCAGTATTACATTCAAGTCTATCCTGTAAAGGAAGGAACAAAATAAGAAAAAATACGAGCGAAATAAATGATACTTTTGTTAATAATTATCATTAATGTTGTTTTAACAAAATAAGAATTAAAAAATTACTTTATACTATAGTGAAAAGTGTTAAACCTAGGGATTTTACGAAAATAATCATAAGAAATGGGAATAATATCGTAAGACTATTAACATGCATAAATAAAAATATCCAGGAGCTTATCCTTGTTCTTAACAAATGATTTGCAAATAAAATGAATTTGTTTAAAAATATGAAGGTATTTAATTATTATTTTTTTCTCTTTTTAATGAACGTATATAGATAGAGGAATAATGTTTCTTTCCACGATTATGGCAATATTGTATGGCTTGGTTTAACGGTTAAAAATAAAGCAGCGCTAGAAACAGACGCGAGAAATAATAAAATGTATACGTACAGTTATATACACTGATCTAACGTGACATTCCTCGTTTTCACGCTTCTGCAAGTGATTAAGATAAATAAAAAAAAAAAGTTTATATATATTAAAAGAAAATAATAAATATAAAGTATATGTATATAAAACGTTACGGTCCGATAAATCTCAATAAAGAGAAATGAATAAACAACGACGATACTAAAAGGTAGCACACGTTCAGGATGGAGAGAAAGTGACAAGTTATTCTTAACCACAACACACCTGGGAACCTTTCTACTGGAATAAAAAAGGATCAATAAATAAATGAAGGAAGATTGATATACGCGTAGAAAGATAATTAGGGTTGTCCCTTATAAAGGAAAACCCTCTTTAGAATGCCTACAGTAGTGAATTCTTCCTTGACATATGAAATTCTTATGTACTTGAATTCCTTTTACTTTGGTATGTTTGCTGTGTGCGAGTTGGGCATGGGACTCTTCAAGGCTGCTAATTTGCCATCTCCGGGCACGAGTACTACACTAACTGAGTTTGCACTGTTATTCTTCCTTATAGCTACGGAGGGTGCCAGGATCTATTTGGGAAGGAAAGGAAATTTAACTGAACGAGGCCTACCAATACTCATTGGAATTTTTTTAACGTTTCCTAGCTCGTTGGCAACTTTGTATTTCTTATTTTGGCAGAATTATGTGCTTAAATTAGAAGTTATCCTTTGTAGTATACAATTAGTCATTTTAGCAGTGGAGCTTATTATATCGGTCATGTACCTCATAGCTATTTATCGTCCTCCATCTCCTAAAGAATGATCTGTGCGTTATTGGTTTTGTTTCTGAGACATTAGCATGTTGCACGTTGATACGCTATTACATTATATATATTTTACACTTACTTACATATCTTGCGTATTATCAAACACTCAGATATTTTAAAAGACTATTGTATTCCTTATGATCGAACAAGATTCTGTGTCTTAACTAAACAATTAGAGCATCTTTACCATGGTTTCACACGTAGATATAATTAGATCCTTTTCAAAAATTTCTATACGTAAATAATATCATTCATTCTTATTATTAAATCTTTCATAGTTAAGACAATTAATGATGCGAATGTTCATGTATTTTCATATGTTAGATTATGAAAAGAAAAAAAAAATGATACCAAAGATAGTATAAAATAAAAACTGCATTTCTAACTCGACTGCAGAAAATATTAATAAAGTATATATGTATATATATTTTTGTTAAAATTCTAATATAGCATTATATAATATTGTATTCATTCTCAAATTAATTATTAACATCAAAGTTTATAATTATATACAATATTTAAAAGCAACTCTATTAAGAAAAAAGTCATTTATGTATTTATAATATATAGTTTGAATTATGATAACATTAATATCGTAGTTCCTTAACTTAAAAACATAATCAAATCTGTAAAAGTATGACGGTAATATTTTCTACTGCCTGAAATAAAATTATCTTCTATAAAAAAGAAAGTAAATTAAATATTATTCCCACGTTAATAAATACTTTATTTTTTAATCTACGAACCTAGAAACATTGTTAATAATTTTTTTTTTGTCAACTATAATAACTATAATCAAAAAAACGACCAATACTGTTTAAATTATTCATTGAATACGAATAGTACAGCTGCAATATCATAATGCAACAAATGACTTCTAATATCGTTAACAATAAAATATTCACATAAAATTCTATTTATTTATATATATATAATAATAATAATAATAATAATAATAATAATATTAAAATAAATACTTTTTAAAAATAAATAACATAGTAATGTGTCTTTTTTGTTATTATAATAGTCAACAATTTATACATCAGACATATAAAATAACTCTGTATATTGGAACTATGATGATGATCAATTTAATTGAAATAAAAAATACTATATATACATTAACTTGTAATAAGAATTTTGAAATGTTACTATATCAAAATCTGTACAATATATTAAATCTGACACCAAGAATAAGAATTATCAAAACTCTATGATGATCATATATATACATGTCTTATCTAATTATTATCCGTAAGACGTGTATAAGTATTTAAAATAATGTATCATTATAAAAATCAGATCGTATGAGATTTTACGTAATATAATTAAATTAAATAATCCTAATCTTTTACAGCATTCGCTGCAGCTCTGCGTCTCTTTATAGCTCGTGTTACATTATTACAATAAATTCGAAGGAATACTGAACCAAACACAAGAAGTATGCCAAATATACCAATTATTTTAATTTCGTGACTATATATTAAACACGACAGCAATATAGCCAATCCCTGAAAATATATGATATATTACAGAGATAATAATTATTAATTGTTTTTTAAATAAATTCATTTTTACCTGTCTTATGGTCATCATTATTACAAAAGTAATAGGGCCAAATTTTGAGATTGTATAAAAAATATATAATTGTCCGCTCGCCGAACAAATGGACATAAGTAAGCAATCCACTATAAACCTAGGATACTAATCAAAATTCGTTCACATTAGTCGAAAGAAGAACGAAATCAAATTTAATCGTTGAAATTAGTAGTTGCTTACCTTTTTCATGAAATAATATATAAAAGGAAAACTCGATTGCTGTATAAGAGAAGTAACAGTTAATAAACATGAAAACATATTTACGGCGCACATCATTTGTACACTGGTTGTACCATATTCAACAAAAAGTGCATTTTGCCAAGTACTCGTAAAACTGTCCAATAATAAATAACCCCCTAAAAGGATAACACCGGAAACTGTAGTAGCTCCGTCTGAAAATTAAAAGAAATAGAAAATTGAATAAATATTTCATATTAGCGTATTATACATATATTTTATTTAAATTACCCTTTTGATGGTCAGAACTGTTTAACATAAACATTGTCATTCCAACGGAAATAAATATTGCTGTAACATATTCATAATATTCATACTTTGTATGAGATATTAATTTTCCCATTATCATAACAGGAATAATCTTCGAGGCCTTTGCTAAAACCTACAAAGCATATAGTATTCGATTATTATAATAGAATAATAAATAATGAATATTTTATTAAACTAAATATATTTTTACCTGTGTAGGAAAGCTAACGTATTTAAGAGCTTCATATTGACACCAACTGCTCAAAATGTTTGACATGGAACAAAATACATATTTGTAAAGTGGTGCTTTATGTTGCGGTTGTGTTTTAATAATAAGATATAATCCGGACATGAGAAATGCAAGTATTCTATTCATAAATACTAGAAATTGTGAATCTTCAAAATTGCCCTGATTACCAGAACTATCCTCGTAAACCTATATAGGATATAATATTTGACTTTATAATTTATACAAAAATTGAATAATAATATTAAAATAAATCTAAATACCTGGGTCATTATTTTCTCTTGTAAATAACCCCATGTCAAGTAACTAATTTGCAAACCGAAGAAGCAATAAGTGAGTAAGAAACAATCCTGTGTAAATGTACGTTGACTGGTGGTAGTTGGTGTATAAGAAGATGCATCTAAGAGACCTGTTTCTGTGTGTCCAAGGAAACATGAATGAATCAATCTTGGAATACAGCTTTTATCTGTAAATATAATTAAAAAAAAATATATATATATATGCATATATGTAATACAATATAATATAATATAATATTATAATATAAAGTAATCATTATGACACATAATAATGAATAAAATGAGATTTACTACTCTACTTACCGCTTCTCTGAATATATTTACTGTATCTTACATATTTATATATAAGAAAACCTGGCAATAAAATAGTAATATAACCAAATAGGTTAAAACATAGTCGAAGAATCCAACTGTATGAAGTAGATTGTAACAACTCTTCACCGTTGTTTGCAAGATATTTTATAATTTCACTGGTTCCAAATACAATACTCACTGAAAATAGTAGCAGTGTGCTACAGAATAAAAGCTTTTATTAATATTTATTATAAAACTAATCATTTATAAATTGAAAACATTAAGTAATTTGTAAGAACCTTTAAAAAATAACAAAAAATTGTTTAATATATATTACATATATTTAACAAATAAAAATTAGTATTAAAAATAAAACATACCAAATAATAATATCTCCTATAAAATTCCCCATGCTTTTGGTAAATTGGAAACTGATATCAAACGAATATAACCCGTAAGCTCCCATAACCTTAGCAATCGTAACTATTTGAAAGTATCCAAATATTCAAATAAAAAATAACAGATGATATTTTATAAACTTAACACGATATTTTTATACGAGTTTTAATATACTTATATAGTCTTGTACTTTAGAACAATAAATGAAGCAAATAATTGGAATGAACTTCTCCATGTTTTCTTATAAAGTTTTTATCATGTTCAAAAGATATATTATAATTCTTTATCTCCCGCTAACGATTGTGTAATGCAATATTACACGTTCAATTAAAAAAATGATAAAATTGTATTATTAGATTAAAATATGTACAAATAGAAGCCATGAAAAAAAGTAATTCCCCAAATTTTAATATATCACATTTTTATCATTATTATAACCTCAATGTAATATATCTTCTGCTTTTAATAGGACCAACATTTTTCATTAAGAACATTTATTTTCTTAATAATTCAATTAAGAAATACTCAATAAAATACCCTAAAAGAATTATCTTTAAAATTACGTAACATTGAAATTAGATTAGATTATTCTAAAATAAGAACAGGAGTATGATAATTTGTTTTCCATTTTATTAATATGATATTTTTTACTGTGCTTAGCACAAATATGTACAGAATTGTGTATGTATATATATATATATATATATATATATATATATATTTAGTTTTTTAAATATTAACCTATTATTTAATCCTCTTCTGACTGATCACCATCACTTTCATCTTCTAATTCTGGCATAGGAAAGCGTAATATAGCTGCGATACCAGTAAGCTGATCTAGCTCTATAAATAATATTTCATTACGTATAGATATTAAATAAGAACTATTTCTAATTGTTATCAATATATATATTCGATAATATCAAATAAATAATATACGAGTTATAGCATTATACATACGTTCACCAGATACATGTAAGCTTGAAAATATTTTAACATCGCCATTATATTCTTTGACGTTTTCTACTAATGCCACATATTCTTTTCTTAATGCAACATCTTGACATCTATCAAAATAATAAAAATATTAAATTATAAAATAAACATATGTTTATATAAATGTATATCTAAAATACATTTTACCTAAATAATTTATCCGATATAAGTAATGTTTCCACCGCTTGAGCTTCATTAGCTTTCTCTACATGTTTTTTACCGTAAAAAGCTCTGGCAGAATCTACTTGCAATATTGAATAAAATGTTTCTAAAGCTTTAACTTCGCTCGCTGCTTTGGTATCCGAAATTCGAGACACTACGGCAGGATCGGCCAATACCTCTGTTATGATCAAATCATAAATAATATCATTATTATATTTATTGAAATACATACATATATATACATATATTAAAATATTACCTTTCAATGAGTGTTTAAAACCAGAACTTGAATGTATCAATAAAAATTTGCCTTTATTTTCTAATATCGTTTTGCAATCAGATTTAATTGCCTGCTGAACCATATAATCCATAAATTGATCTTTGACAAATCCAGGACTGGCCAAGATAACACATTTGACAATGTCAAAATTAATATGTCTTAAAATGCCTTGTAAAATGCTCTCATAAAATCGCATCAGACCCTAACAAGTTTCAATAGTTTTGATCAGTTTTGTTTACTTATTTTTCTTGTTTTTATTTTTTTTTATTTTTATATTTTCTTTTTCATTTAAAAAAATTGGTATTCTAATTAAAGATATTACTTTTTCGTGTTGAGAAACATTCCCTTTTCGTTTCCTAGGTATAACTTGATCTATTTTTGCACGTACTATTGTCATATTGGAAGTTATTAAACAAATATGTGCGATACCTTCTTGCATTACCACAGCAGCAACATCTGCTTTCTGATAATGGGGAAAAGAATTAAAAAAAAAGGATGACAATATTATAACATCGTATATTATAATATTGAATAACAATTATTATACTACCTGAGTAGGATCGCATGAAGTTTCAACTCTTTCTAATTTAATAGAATCCCAATGTTCTTTCGTAATAGTAAATTTTCGATTTTGTTCGACATCCAATGTATGATATTGGCCAGTCTACAAAAACATTTGTTTATTTTTCATTTCATCATATACGTTAGATTAATTATAATATATTTATAAATGTAAATACCTTAACATATTTATTTTCTTCGACGTTTCTACCTTTGAGTCTAAGAACACATGCTTGAGTATCAAAATCAACATCTTCAACGCATATAGTAAGAGTCGTTCTTACTTTGTAACTACTAGAACTTCCAGTTGATGATTCCATTTGTACTTTTCTGAAAAAACAAAACAAAAACAGAAGAAAATTATGAGTAATTTGATTTAAAGGTATAAATATTAAAAATGTATACCCATATATTTTAAAACACTCTCTCTCTATATATATATATATAATATATATTATAAAATTCTTGTTTACCTAAAAGTCGAGCATGTGACAAAATCTCCTTCCTCAATAATATTATAAGCATGCCACATATCTTCTGTGTTTTCTGGCACAAGGCCTATGCTCCTAATAACAATGTATAATAATAAATTACATATATTATAATTGCGATAAGTAAACCATAATAATACATAAAAATGTTCCATATTTCCATACCCTTTTCCATCCTTGTCAACGTTCTTTCTAATTAACTTCATCTTTAAGGTATCTTTATATAAATATAACTTCCTAAAATTTGATTGAATCAATCGTTAGATAATTATTTTCTTCGATATAAAAGAAAGATTGTTTTGAAGAACAATTTCATGAAGCAAAAATGAAATAATTTGACATTTTTATAGGTTATGTTTAAAAAGTTTAAGCTATTTTAATAATCAATCGATATAAAATTTCAATTTAATTACCTTAAATGTTATTGCACATCTATTTATTATTAAATGAGATTCGTTTCATGTTTTTATAAGCGCATTCGAGAGAATATTAAATCTTTTATGACATATGTAAAACATGATACAAACGTTGCACCCGTTCGCACGCGACATAGGTTTAATTTTTTCATTGCGTTATGACAGATTTAGTAAAATACAAAGCACGGAACTTGGATAATAAAGAAAACGATCACTGTGTATAAAAGTGTCCCCAAAATATAGAACAAATAAAGTTTTATTCCAGGGTGCGCTGTATCGGTGTAGAAAGACGACTAGTTCTTTCTTCTTATTATTTTTCCTAGTCATTGGTAACTATATTTGATTATGGTTTCGCATCTAATCTTTATTCATCTATGATTATTTACCTAATTTGAGGCTAGAATGTGTCATTTTTATTTATTAATTTAAAAGTTGGTTAGTGTAGTTAAGAAAAACACGTGTATTAAATATCCGCGTTTTAATATTACGTGAGAATATTTCGTAATTCAGATTAAATATGAGTGAAAGCATTAGTGAAAATACTGAAGAAAAACAGAATGAAGAAGAGAATGAAGTTACGTGGAAAGATCTGGTAAGATTATTCACATGTGATCGAAGTTTATAACCTTAAAAAAAATGTATGATTTCATTAAAGCATTAAGAAATAATTTTTCTATCTTAATTTAATATATCTCTTTTACACACAGGGAATAGTAGAAACATTATGTAAAGCATGTGAAGATTTAAAATGGGAGAAACCAACTAAAATTCAAAAAGAGGCAATTCCTTTGACTCTTCAAGGTAAATTTAATAAAAGAAAATAAATTTGATTATCTATTTAATGTGTATATAATTATTTATGTAATTTATAGGTAAAGATGTAATAGGTCTAGCAGAAACAGGGTCTGGTAAAACAGCAGCTTTTGCACTTCCTATAATACAAGCATTATTAGAGAGTCCTCAAAGATATTTCGCTTTAATTTTAACTCCTACCAGAGAATTAGCATTTCAAATCTCAGAACAATTTGAAGCGTTAGGTAAAAACTTTTTTTTTATTGTTATCCAATGAAAAACTTGAAGACATTTTACGTTAATCATAATTTCTATCTCAGGTTCAAGCGTAGGTGTAAAATGTGCTGTAATTGTTGGTGGTATGGACATGATGTCGCAGGCTCTTGTATTAGCCAAAAAACCACACATAATTATTGCTACACCTGGAAGATTAGTTGATCATTTAGAAAATACTAAAGGTTTCAATTTACGTTCTTTAAAATTCCTGGTAAATAATTATGATCTTGTGTTATATATATATAGATATAAAAGTAATCTTTTATTTAATACTATATTTTTTAATTTGTAAGGTAATGGATGAAGCAGATCGTATTTTAAATATGGACTTTGAAGTTGAGGTTGATAAAATTTTAAAAGTTATTCCACGCGAAAGGAGAACTCTATTATTTTCAGCCACGATGACAAAAAAAGTACAAAAGTTGCAACGAGCTTCTTTGCGCAATCCGGTTAAGGTTGAAGTATCCACAAAATATCAAACGGTTGATAAGTTGCAACAATATTATATATTTATACCAGTCAAATTCAAGGTAATTACATAGTACTGGAATAAGCATATATATTACAAAAGTACATAGATCATCATATATCGAATCTTATAAGACAAATTTCAGTACAAGAATAATAAATTGCATATAATTTACTTTTATAACAGGACGTATATTTAGTACATATCTTAAATGAATTAGCTGGTAATAGTTTTATGATATTTTGTGCAACTTGCAATAATACGGTAAGAACAGCATTACTGTTACGTAATTTAGGATTTACGGCTATTCCTTTGCACGGACAAATGTCACAAAATAAAAGGATTGCGGCTCTTACAAAATTTAAAGCTAAAAATAGATCTATACTTATCTCTACAGATGTTGCTAGTAGGTAAGGAATTAAAGTTGTTGTAAGTCAAAATATATTGTTTTCAGAAATAAGTTCTAAGTTATTTAAATATTTATAATATTTTACAGAGGTCTTGATATTCCCCATGTTGATATTGTAATAAATTTTGATATTCCTACTCACAGTAAGGATTATATACACCGAGTTGGTCGTACTGCACGTGCAGGTCGTTCAGGACGTTCAATTACATTTGTAACGCAATATGATGTTGAACTTTATCAGAGAATTGAACAATTAATTTCTAAACAGCTTCCTTTGTATGAAACAGAAGAACAAGAAGTAATGCTACTGCAAGAAAGAGTAGCAGAAGCTCACCGTATTGTAAAAATGGTAAATTAAAAAAGAATATCAAGAATCGAATTATAATGTAATTGATAGAATAAATTGGAATATCATTAATAATTTAATCAAATTTTATAGGAATTAAAAGAAATAGAGGATAAAAAGAAATCTGGTAAGCGAAAAAAACATGCAGATGCAGATGAGGATGATACAGAACAATCATTTGGAGTTAGAAAAAGAATAAAAGGAAAGGGAAAAGGAAAAGGAAAACGATTTTGAAAGTATAAGGTATTATTGGGATAATCGTCGTAAATTATGTTCAAGCAACACTCACATCTTAATAAATAATGCAAACGCGATACAACTTTTATTATCATCGTTACTTTTTATTTATAAACCACTCCATTTCCCTCATATGAATATTTGACCCAGACTTATAGTCTTTATATATAATTTTCAAGTAATTTAATTTACAAAATCTTTTTTTTTTTTTTCTTTTTTTTTTTATTCAATTTCAAAACTTTTTAATGTAACAGTATGGTGGAAATGAGCTTCCTGATGTGTTTATCACTTACCATCACGCGAATTTCAATGTACAAGAATATTTTGGGATAAACTGCGATAAAGATTATGCAGAATAAATGTATGCATAAGTAAAAGGCTAAGAAATAAGGAGAATCTTTATAATACTGAGAAAATTAGCATTGTATTATAATGATTTTAAGTCTTTTCACAGAGCGAAATAATATTTATCTTTCGCTCGAATATAATCACAATAAAATATGTAATAAAAATCACAACTTTTACCATTGCCATTTATCATCTGCAATTAATCTGTTAGGTGAAATTAATGAAGCACCGAGGCAAAACGTGTTATTATATGGTCAACATGTCTACTTGCACGCTTTGAATAAAATATAAAGTAAGATTGATAAAGCAGAATCCTGTTTATAAAAAAATGCAAGCTAAAGAAAATCGTGTATATATATAGATAAATAGAAAACTATTTAAAAGATAATAATGAACATTATGTATAATGAACACAGCAAACTATTGCAAAATTGATTGATAAATTTTTCCCAAGTTTCTCTTAAAATGATCAATATAACTCTATCGTTTGTTTTAAGATAAAGATTAAGGGAACAATTAATGTTCCAGCAAATATTTATAATTACAGTGATTTCTAAAATCTAATAAATTGTTATTAATTGTATAAAGTGGTAATAAATCCTTAGTCTTTGAATATTTGTGTGAGTTTAGTTTTGACATAATGTGCACTAGAAAATATTGTGATGCTGCTTAAAGTGAAAATTGTCAAGTATAGATATATATATATATATATATATATATATATATACATCTTTCAAAATACAATTAATTGATTAACAAAAAAAATGGTGCTATATAAATTGTAATTCTTAATAATCTATCCTGATTATTAATGCATTATTAACAAGCGTAATACTGTCAATATATATACATATACAAGTATATATATATATTAAACAAAGTTATCAGTATAAGAAAGTGTATGACACATCACGAAACTTTGCTGAACATGCTAAGAATAATAAATTCATATTTAACTATACATGTGCACACAACCTTTCACTGCAATATCATCTTTTTCAAAGCTACATATATATAAATATACATTTGTGTATATATATATATTTATGCAYCTGGTTGTCTATTTGAAGTAAATTGAAAAAATGCATTGGGTGGGTTCATCATGCAAATATCCATCGCTGCATTTTTGTAACAGGAATTTCTGCTTAAAGTATATTTATACTTTAATCAATATTTAGATTAAATCTCTATACTAATCGAACGTACGAGAATCTCAATCTTATTATCACTAAATGATATAAGTTTAATCTCGTTGTCGAGGGCGTTTATAATAACGAACAGCGCGCGTGCAAGCGATTACTTCAGTCTCTGAAGCAAAGACTTTGTCTGAAGTTATTTATTTCAAATGCCGATACTATTAACTCTGCTCGATATGAGAAAATACATATCAAAAAAAAAAAAAATATAATAAAATGAAAATGTATGCTTGTGTGTGTTCAATTTTCTTATATATTAAATATTTCTTTCAATCCTATATTCTCTCGGTGGCAAAGTACCGACAGTTATAATAAATAAATTCGTACAATGTGACTCTGTCTCTTTTTAAAATATATAAATACATATGCATTAGCGATTATCACGGGTCGCCATTCGACGAACACATAGTCGAATCGCAAAATACTCAAAAGAAAATGTATTTAATCTGAAATTACAAGGCGTGTTGGCGCGTAAAGTAGTCTACTCTAGTATGCTATTATTTTAATATTTAATCAGTTTTAGACCTTACGATGAGCTCGGATCTCTTTTAAATCGTTCAAACGAATATAAGTAAACTAGTCGAGCAGAATCTAATGGATGGAATGTTCCAAATACAGGTCAAGAAGATGTGCAAGTGACAGAAATTGAAACAACTTAGGTTTCATTTAAATGAGAAATAAAATATATTCCATAATATTATTATTCACTATTTCTACACATTCTGTACAGTAATTCAATTCAAGGGTTTTATACCTCAATATACTTTATACAAAAAGGCTACTTATAATCTAACATTAAGACATACCATAGCATGAGCGCCCTCCATCTTACCGCTAAACGGCAGATGGGCCGCACGCATGTTTGTACTGGTATTACAGAGTCAGTCGCCAGCGAGTATAACTTCTTCCTCTTGTATCACACACCTACACACTAAATTGTTGAAAGTGTGTCTCTGGTGTCATTCATATCATTATCATTCGTAATTACAATTTACTGTCCCCAATAAACGTACTCCATTATTTCACTTTTGTTTACATTCTCGGAAAGGAATATGGGAGATTTACCATCGCAACGTTGAAATATAATGAAGTGCCTTCATTGTCTGCTATGCACAAGTTCGTATCTTTGTTTTTTTTTTTTTTTTTGTTTAACTTTTCTGAGATACTCTTTACTAATAAATAAAATTATATTTTGTGAAAATATAGAATCGTAAAAAATAAAATCTGTCTTTTCAGTTTTGGATATCGGTACAGAAATAGTGCATTTCAGAGACTCCACAAATAATAGATCTGTTAATTCAGGTCTCTGTCCTCTAAGTACTTGTACTCAAAAGTAAAGCCTTCTTTCTTTCTTTGTCCCCACTTTTCATAATCAAAATAGATGTAGGTTCCCTGTAATATAAACAATTCCTTTCAATATACTTCTTCAAACATGTAAAAAATATAAATTATAATAAATAAAGTAAGATCTTTCGAAATATTATTATACGCTTTATTATCGTGTATGAAAATATGATGAAAATATTTCATTCTAATATATTGCTGTTCAATTTTGTTTATTGACACAATTTGTAAGATACTATATACTGATATAATCAACGGGACAGTAACCTGTTCATATTCCTCATTAATAACTTTAGGCTCTTCGTGTCTTTGAAACCACATCATGTATTTTGTATGAAACCTCCAACTTTGTTTTTTCAATGCTTTCGCCGCCAAATATTGACCCTTGGAACCCTCCATGTAATAAAAAATAAAAAACAATGTTTCCGTAGAAAGACGTTGGAAGAATTCTACGGTATCCGAATGAGGAAGCTGTACCTGTACAAGAACATATTGCATACATCAAATAATGAAATTCTATGATATGGCATTTAGTTACTCTTTTACACACCTGTTGATAGTATGGTGGTGTAGGACATAAATTTCTTGGCAAGTACGACCGTAAACGTTCGGAATCTGAGGGATGAGGCATATGGTAGTAAGCAGCTTCCATCATCTGGAACTGTAACTGGTGTTCCTTTAGCAAAGGTACCGGACCCAGTGGTGCTACGCCAAGTAAAGGTGGAATGTTTGCTTCCTTAGTGGCGTTGTTACTATTGTTTGGCTTCGCACTGTCAAAGATGTTTCTATTTGGCTCAGATGGTGGTATCTCCAGACCTGCTCGGACAATGACTTGTTGGGCAATAGATTTTAAAGAGGACATGCCATCAGGAAGTTTAGGGATGAGACCATTGGCAGTGGATGGCGCTGGCGAGCATGAATTCGCAGGTAGAGGTGAAGACCTGGTGCTAACTGAAGATTGTGGCGAAGAAGACGGTGGGATTGGTGTTGTCATTTCTGCTTCACTATTGTGATTTTGACTTTGTTGACTATGTAATATATGAGTTGTCTGAACAGGTGCTGTATTATTATGTTGCTGTGAGATCGATTGTTGTACATTCGAGGTAACACTGGATGTAGATGACGATGACAATAATCCGTTTTCACTGCTATGAGCTGTAAATAATAACAAATTATGTAATAATCAAAATATACAATAGAAATTTAAAAGCAATATTAATAAATGTTTACATTACAGGAAATTTTGACATTAACAGATTCTAAGTCAATTGAATTTTGGTCGCTAGAAGCTTTAATGCTGATTGTCAGATTGTTTGTACATGAAGAATGAAATACAAAAGAAGATTTGTTTTCAACAGAAATGAATGAACCGTCTAAACCGAAATCTTTAATTTATGCGGGATCGGCTTAAAACGTGTCAACCGTTTGAATTCAAAAGGTGATTGAAAAAACATTGTCGAAAAATGCCGAACAGAATGCACCATCTATTATAGCGTTCAAATGTACTAGGGTTTTTCGGCATGAAATTTAAACAGTGTGATCACACTGCTTGGAACTTAAACGGTTAGTAAATATTGTAAAAATATAATAAGAATGAGATACTACTTACATGACGTTTTACTAGAGGTAGAATGGATGGCTTGTGAATTACTATGCGAAGCAGCTACTGTGGCAAAATTTCCAGCATTAGTTGTTGCAATGTGATTACTAGTAGAACTAGGCGAGCTATGGCTAGATGTCATGGGAATGGTCTTGCTTGGAGTGCTGCTGGATAACAAATTCGATTTTATTGTGGCAGTGCTTCCCGTGGTTGGAATGCTCGCTTGAGAATTGAGTAGCGGCCTGACTGCTGTTGGTTTTACAGGCTGGAATTATAAAAGAACGACCATTGTATCAATAAACCCTTATTACAGTTGCAAAATCAAGATAAATGTGTACCTTTGTTTTTTTGTCTATATCCGTGGAACTATCACTTGAATGGTTGTGCATAGTAGAACTCAATGGCGGTGAAGGTATAGGTGAAGTACCAGAGTTAGTCGAGGTTGGTGTACCTCCAGTCTCATTGCTATTATTGCTATCTGTTGTTGCTGCAGAGGGAATACCAACCCCAGACAACTCTACTTCATCAAGACCAATAATATCATCATAAATGTATTCATTTTCCTCAAAGTCAGGCTCTTGAGATGATTCAATATAATATTCAACGTCATCTTTTATCCTCTTGATCTAATTAAAATGACGTATGTTAAAAATGTAATTTTAACGTACAATATTTTTAATAATTGTCATACACATATGTATACACACCATAAAACGATTAAATATTAACTAAAATAGACTTTTTCATCAAAAGAAAACTCACTGTATCAACTTCAACAGACATATTATCCAACATGCGCAATAATGTCTCCAATTTACGGATATGGTAACGATGCTTATCTAGCTTTGCTTTTAATTCATCCATTCTATCTTGTTTATCTTTATCTAACCGTTTTTTCTTTCCAGCCAGTAATGATTCTATCTCAGATTCAAATGTATCCAGCTATAATCAAGATATTAAAATAAGAATAAGAAAATATTTGTAAATATTTTAGAAGCAATTTTTCATTTACCTGGAGGTTTAAAGCATCTATCGAATTGGCAAGCCAATTGCTAACTTCTTCCCTTTCTTTTTGGGCTGGATCAAGTTTCTGTGCTGCTCCTAATCCTTCCTTGGAATAGGCCTTGGTTTTTGTTTCTCTTTCAACAACTTTAAACCTTTCCATTTGCTGCAAGAGAATAATAATATAATACTCTTGCAAACTTATGTTATAAATTAATAATATATAAACATATATTTTTCTCATAAGTAAAATATACTCACAGTCTCGATTAACTTCCTGTAGTCAAGAAGTGTACTTTTATCTTTGATTTCTCCAGATGCGATCCAACTTTTAATCTGATCGCGTAACCTTTGAAGTTTTTTGATTTCCTTCTTAAGATCTGCTTCATATTTTTCCTTCTGATTGCTATTATTGGCATTATGAACTTTCTGCCAAATGTCTTCAAAGGTCTCCACACCCTCTGTCACTTTTTTAAGGCACCGATCTATTTCACCTATAAAATAAAAATAAAAAAGAAAAAGTTATGATAATGAATAAAATTTTTATAAAAGAATAAAAATCTAAATATTATTGAAAATAAAATGTACATCTAATATATAAATAATTTTATCAACTGCAAATAATGCTACTTACATGAGATAAGTGTATCTATCAGTGAGTTAACACAAAACAACTAAACCAATTATAAATCATCACACAAGCAACAAATTGAAAGTGGATTTGAGCGTGCCGCTTTAAAGGTTATACATTAATATAAATTAATAATAGAATTTTCTTATATTAATAGTGATAAATGAGAGAAAAGCGAATAGATTTGTGTAAAATAAGTATAAAAAATAATGAATGAAATTCAGTGTTCCATTGTACTTTTAAATATCTTCTAACAACTGTCAGATGTTAAAATCAACATGCAAATAAATAAAGTGAATAAAAGCGATATCGCTTGTATATATTAAACGTAGTTTTTATTAAGCAGCTTATAAGTTTGATAGAAGAAACGGATAAAAGCGAATCTGTGGTGGTACAGAGCCATAACAAAATTTCTAAATGTAAACATGCTGGAAACATTTTCTCCTCACCTTGCAACTTTCTCGTCGCAGCCATGGCTATGTAAACATGTGATACAATGATTCATGCATAGTCTAGACGTAATGGGAAAAAAACGGAGCAATTTTTTGGAACAAATAGTCGCTGAAGTATTATTCCCAGTATAATATGGGAGGCTCGGCCACAAGATGGCTTCCGTTTTCAAATGACAACGTCCTACTGTTCCTGAGCGAGCTGCGCTCAAAGCACATTCAATTTCTCCCGATTTGAAACCTTTTTCAAATAATGAAATTGTTACGTCTGTCCAAAAATCGACAGCACATGAAATACACAAAAAATGGTAGCATCAACAAAGAATATATATGAACTTCTTAACAAACGGGACAGTATATTTATGCATTGGCGCATTCACACACATTCTACCTAACGCATATACTTATTCTTAGTGTGTTCTCAAAACAGTTCAAACATGCCTGCCATATGTCATGTCCATACTAATGCATAGTTTCCAAAATGAGATAGTTCAAAAAGTGTCTTACTTCTTGTTCTAATAAATTTAATTTCTACAATATTTCTTATTTTATCTTATTTTACTATGTTATATATTATCTAGAGCAAGATAATAGAACAAAATGGATCAAATAATCTGTGCGCTAAATGATTTTAGTTTATTTTCTAGTAATATTTTTCAAAGAATTTAACGGAAATGATTGCATAATACATTGTATAATACTATAAAGATTTAACTCGATAAAATTTAATATCATTATTTATTTTATTTATTTGGATCGTTAACATAGCAACGACAGATTAGATTATTTATACTAATTAATGATAAATTAATATTTATATACGTCTTGTTAGTTGTCTTCTTTATAAATTTGCCGCCAATTATTTGAAATTAAAATGCATGTTTATATAGATTGGGTTTCTCAAAGTGGTATAACTGAATTTTGCGAGTTACAAATATTTTTTTGCAAAACTAAACAATTCCTAGATGCGCAACGATCGAAAATTCATTTGAAATCATCTAGATAAAATTACACGTTTAGTATGTTTTTGAGTTTGCGATAGTGAACAAGAATATAATAGAGAGATTTATATTCAAGATCGTAAAAATTTATTCTCAGATATGGACAGTTGTCAAGTAGACATTTAATAATCTCTGATGTTGACAATTTTCAAGTTGAACAGTCTCCATAGATTTGTATAGTTAAAGGTATATAATCTGTGTTTGTAATTTATATACGTTTGGGAATATTCAGGAAAGTTCAATGTAATAATATTTATTAACGTTTCATTCAGTTTTTTTTTTTGTTTTGTAATCATATAAAAGTAATGATTAAGAAAGTAAATTATACAAATAACGTTGTCGATTTCAATATACAAATCTTACTACAGTAATCATGGATGTAACGATCGCTAAAAGGGAAGCAAGAAAAAGACGAATTTTAGAAAATTCAGAACGTCGTTTACAAAAAATTACTGGTAAAAATGAACCAAATGAAATCGAAGGTAAAAAACTTAAACAATATATATTGTTAATTATAAGTATAAAAATAATTATAAGGTTATCTAAATAATCGTTAAGATTATCTCAATTTCATGATTAAAGAAATATTTTCATATGATTTATTTTATTGTATATAAGATTAATTAATATCTTTTCAGATCTGTCAAGTGAACTTAATCCATCAAATGTATGTTCAAATACATTAGACTTAGAAATAAATGGTATATCTGTAAACAAAAAACCTTTTGGGGATAAGAATGATACTTTATACTTTCGAGGTAAAGCGTAGTATAAATTTTAATTATATATATATATATATATATATATGAAAGTATACCAATTTTATTTATTATTTCTTTTTTAACAACATTTGTATGGTAATCCAATTTTCAATATCTTCATATAGGTGATATTGCTGTAAAAATTAAAGATAATAACAAGACGGAAACATATTGTGGCTTAAATGATATATTAAACAATTTTTATAACTGTAATGATGAAACAAATGACAAACTTGATTGTACAAATAATAAGTCAAATTTAAATCATCTTGATTTTTGTAATGAAAGTACAGAATGTATGCAAGAGAAAAATGCAGAAATTAATTACCAAATGCAAATCAACGTATCCAATAAAAGTATATTGTCATATAATTTATTATCTAATCGCATAAGTTATATCGTGCTAGCAGTTATAACTAACATTCTATTATTCTTTAAAATGGATCATCTATTTGGGAAGGTATTGGTATTAAAATATACATATATTAACATATTATATTGTGTTTAATGTTTAATGTTTGTTGTGCATTATCAATGACTATAGTAATCTTTTAATATTTTGCTTCAATTTACAATTTTTTAAATGTAAATATCTTAAAATGCATTGCATTGTAATATTTTATTCTTTAATCACTTCATGATGATATATATTATTCGCAATGCGAGTATTCTCACAGCATACTCGCGAACGACATATTTATATCGAAAGGGTTAATGCTATTCAATTCTTTATCTTTCTTAATTAATTTCTTTATTTTATACTTTTTAGGTATACAATATATTCAATAATCAATGATTATATTTCAGTACATTCTTATACCGTATATTATTATGATGCTTGGACGTTTATACATTCTTACTAACATTCAAGAACCACAACATGGAAGTTCATTAATTGCTACTTTGATCTTGTGTAATATCAAGCCTGTGTTAACTTATCGAATTGCAAAAGCATTAAGGATTCTTACCTTAATCATTACAGATTTAGCATTATATTTATTCAGCTTTATTTTGATCTATTGTGGAATTACTTATTTTTTAAATTATTTAGATAATTTATTTGTATCAATTATGTAAGTACATAATAGAAAGACAATGTTTTGTTGAAAATTATTAGTAAGTAATTATGTATAAGTGAAGAGGAAGTAAAATGTTTTATAAAATAATATATAAACACATACACACATACACACATACACGTATACATATTATATATGATTTTGAGTAAAAATTATTATTCTCTTATTAAATAAATACGTAGATGCAAAGTAACAATATGTATGACAAAACATTTTTATTTTCTATCAACTATATTTTACATAATGTTGTGATTAATTTATATAAATGATTGTTAGAAATATTTCCAATATTTTTTTTTATCATATATCTAATTGAATAATATCAAGCATTGAAAAAATTAGGACAATGAAATATTATCTTATAAAAAATTAAATAATTGCTAAATTCCAAAATAATAGTTATAATAATATTGAATACATTAACAATACATTTCTTATCCTGACACATATTTCAAAATAAGATGAGTGTATATTATGTATATATTATAAACATCATATACTCAATTTTATATGTATTACAAATGTACCCAATGTTTTTCTGCACTTGCATCTCCATTTGATATATTTGCACATGGACAAATATTATCATTTGCAGTCTCTGTATATGTCCATTTTTATATATGTCTAAAAAAACTTGATATATTATTAATAAAATTGTAGTATATTTAAAGTTTTCTATATACAACATGCAGCATGAAAAGTAACTGAATAGAAAATTTATAATTAAATGTTACGTTTGTTTATCAGGTTTTATTTTTTTTTTTTCGTGAATAAAAAAAAAATAAAATAAAACAAATAAAAAAAAGTAGACTTTATAAATTTATTTATAATTAAAGATAATTATATATATATATATAATATATCCATAGACACAAAAAACTTAAAAAATACTATCATCGGTAATAAACAAAAATTTATTATTAATAAATAAGGTACCAACAGCATAAAATCAATGTAAGAAGATAAAATGAAGTAAAGAATACATACTTCTTCATTGTATCCCAATTTTTGATAAAATTGTTCACTTTCTTCATATCAAATTTGAATTTTTCATTTCGTTCTTCAGGTTTTAAATGTATTTTATTATTGATTGGTAGGTAACCTACCAGATCAGCATTTTCACACTTATCTATTTTTAATAAATTTTTTTTATTGGCATGCTTCGTCAAATCGTTTGTAATAAATTTCAATGTAATCATATAAGTTGCAGTAGGAGACAAATCACGAAGTCGAGAACAAGTTGAAAGATGTTCATAAATTATTGAATTTTGTCCAGTAGTATAAATCAGTATATTTATCAAAGAATCAGGAACTTCTGTGCCCCGACCCACGATGTTATTATTATTAAATACTTTTGAAGGAATTAATATGATGCTAATAGCTTTTTCATTAGGTAGGGTGGGGCACACGATTCCCTACTTAATTTCCTCTCTTTGACTTGGATTTTCGAAAGTTTGTGAAAACGAAGACATATTTTGATAAGTCTCCTTCATCATTTTTTGCTCCCATTCTATTTTATCTTTATTATATTGCTCCATTAATGATGCTGCTTGATCTACAAATTGTTTTTTATCTTGTTCATTCAAAGTTTTCCATTGGATACTTAGCATTTTGAGAAATTCCTAAATGAAAATTTTTATATTAGTAAAATGAATCTCAAATCAAATAATAAATTTTCTCTCTCTTATTATTTTTAAAGAATAAACTTCACATTGTAAGATTGACAAATGATTATTCAAATATCAACAAAACGTACCCTATTATTAACGGTAGATTGTTGTGTGCTTTTAACATGAAGCATATATAATATAAAAGCAGATGGTGGTTTCTTTGGTTTTCCAGGTAATTGAGTAGCCTAAAAATGAAATTTGTTTAAATATATTTTCAATGATATAACGATAAATTTTTGTATTGATTTTATATTTAATAATTAATCACAATGATTTCTAATAGAAAATCTATTTTATTAATGTATTACTTACTTGTTTGTCTTTCTTTTTGTTTAAATTCTTTTTTGTCATTATATAATGTTCCCTTTGCTCAGGAGTTATTGTCTTTTCATATTCTACTATTTTGTTCATATATTCTTTGTATTCTATATCATATTCTTTATTTAATTTAAATTTATATCCTGGATCTTCCGAGGCCCATCTTTGAGATATAAGTTTGACAATCTCATTAGATTTATGTCCTGGATACTCACTAACAACCCTCGGTCTTATCTCTTTCATATATCTAAAAAATGGTGTTAATGGTCTTTTTGGTTTGTTCGGAAAAAGACTGTCTTCTACAAACTTCTTTGTTTTAGATGATATAAATTGATAAGAATTCATCGATAAACATCTGAAACAAATAAGTAGTTATGAAATAAAGTATCAAAAATATATCTTTATTATATATATATACATATATATACACATATGTATACATATATATGTATATGTATATGTATACATTAGTAATCTTTTGGGTAAGAAATAATTTGAAGTAAAGTAATAAAAACATTGTTTATCAAAAAAGTTCTAAATAAAATGATAAAATATTGATATATTAAATATTAATAGATAAACAAATATATGTATTTTGGTAGAATTTATAAACCAAGCTCACAATATCATATTGTATGCTAAGGTATGCTAAGGTTAGAATTTGAAAGTATTATCTTTATGTAAGAATAATTCTAATACTTTCTTTATTCATAATATTGCATTACCGTTATTTTAACAAATATATAATATATTAAAAATGAATATACCTGGAATTTAAAAGATTAGTACAAGAACCAGGTGAAACTAGCCTTCCAAAACCCGCCATGATATTTTATACGTAGTGAACATACAATGTGCGTTTTCAATTTTTCTAGTAATTTTTATCAAAATAATTTAAATCCGTAATATTTTGCCCTTATTAGTAACACTTATTTAAATGTAATAATTATTATATATAACTATTGTAATTTTCAACAGAGTACCAAAAATATGGAAGCGTGGTCATAGTATAATAGTCCATCAGACTGTTCTGTAATGTTATTGGTTAACATAACGGACATTTGAATTCAATTGGTCGTACAATTATTTGAAACTTATTTTAAATTGCAACAGTTTACAATTAATAGTAACTAAAACAATTATCGGGGATGACCCAATAAACAAATCGCTTCTTTATCAAGAAATTGTTGAAGCTATTACAATATAAAATCATACGATATTGTTAGTGTTATTTTAAAACATTTGAAGTAGTTGGAAAATAAATTAGTTTACCAATAAAAATGGCTTTATTACAAGGAAAGAGAGAAAAAGTAAGTATAATTTTTTTTTGAAATTTATCAATATTAATATTTTTAATATTTTTTTGTATGTTTTTTTCTTCATCAACTATATTTTAAATAATATTTAAAAATATATTATTACACGTTTTATTCTCGATTATTGTATTTGTCTTTGTATTATTTATTGTATTTGTATTATTCTCGATTATTGTTTTTTTTTTTTTTTGCAGTGGTGTGATCTATTAGAAAATTTGATTGAATGCCCGGTATGCTGTGAAATACCGCCAAATAATATTTTACAATGTGAGTTGGGTCATCACATATGCATATCATGTCGTTATAAATTAACGCTATGTCCTATATGCAACGGTAGATTTGGTTCAATAAGAAATTTTTTAGCCGAAAATATTTGTAATAAATATATAGAAATAATGGTTTGCATAACATTTTTTTTATAATTTGAGATATTAATCATCTATATTAACACGTTGAATTCTACATAAATTTCATATGTTTTGCCGTAGTGGCCAACGATTGTCAATTTAATATAAAACAATATAGTAACGCCGGTCACCGGTGACCCCCATAGCACTCAACGTGTTAAGTATATAGAAATAATTCGTTTCTTAACAAATAATATTTCAAATCATATTATTTTTTTATAGGCGTCTCTAAAGATACCTACGATTAAAGAAGAAAAAGAAATATTAGAGAAAAAATTATGCATTTTTACACAAACAGAAAATATATCTAAAACATCGGTCTTAGTTCAAACAGAAAATGTATTATTATGCAACAACAAACAAACACAATGCAATATATATGAGAGAGAAACTCAACATGTATTAACTCCATACAATTTAAGGGCAAGCAGAACTTATTATTTTATTCCAAAAGGAAATTTTCAATGTTGTTTTACTTCATGTTTGATATCACCTTTACCTTTTAAACAAATTATGGAACATCTAAAATCGTATCATAATGATACATTTTATGAAGTATGAATACTTAATAATTACTTTTATGCAAAATAAAATAATTCTTTTTTTAATCTAAATACTGTTGTAGGTCGAAAAGACTTGGGGAGTTTATAAAAAAAAATTAGAACTAGAATATGTTTCACCGAAAAATTATGATTTTGCAATTAATATAATCAATATAGGTTTATTTTTTATAAAAATTAAAATTCTTCCATCAAGCGATTTAAAAAGCGAAGTCTTAATGGCAAATAGAGCTTCAATATGTAAACGTTATATGTTTGAAATGATAATTGGAAATGGACAAAAAACTGAAACGTTCTCAGGCTTGGTAAATTTTCTTATATTATAGTGATAATATATATTTAAATGAAATAAATTGTTTTCAATGGTAAAATACTATAATATAAAAAAAAGTCATATATAATATTTAATAAATTATCTTAAAATAGGTGAAGTCGTGCAAATATGTCGATTCGGAAAGTTTGAAAGACTGCATTTACATAAAAAAAAAGAAAATGGAAGAAATCGCTGATGTAAATAATGGATCATTATTTGATTGCAATTTTATTATTAAGAATTTGAATTTAATGAAAGAAAATCATGATTCCGTGAATCATGAATAACCAGTTATTATACATTTCAGATAAATTACTTTATCATTATGTTATAATAGTATTAAGGTTTAAAAATAAAAACAGATGTTTCTTTGATTGCACTTTAAAGATTATGTATTTGAAAGTAATTTAGCATAATCAGTATTTTTGCTATAAATAAAGTTATTCATTTTTTATTGTGTTATTTAACAGGTTTTTTTTTTTTTTTTTTTTTTTTTTGGTATGATTTTAATATTTCTTTAATGGACGTTTTTGACTATGTTTTCTAACATTTATTTCAATTACTGCAACAATTACTAAATTATTTATTTATTATTATTATTTTATAAAATCTACTTACTTTGTCAATGTCTTTATTAAAGTCTGTACATCTTATTTGTAAAGCATTATAATAGCAGTTGAATTTTTCTGTCTTTAAAAGAAAAATTATAGGAAATTTCATTTAAATAGATTTAAGTTAAGAGCTATACCAAATGTTTAAAATTACAATAATTTTATACCAAGTAAATTATAGTTCGTTACACAATACTTTGTTCACAGAATTTGTATTTCTGAAAATAAAGTACAATATTTCAAATGTGACAAACTAAAATGATCTAATGTGAATAGCTTTAATTATTATATAATATTAGCGTAACTACATAATCTGTATATTAATATAACATTGATACTCTCTCTAAAACCAATTGACATATTTAAAAAATGATTGAATTTTGTTTAAGTTAAATTTTTATCAATAGAAATGTGTTTTCATTTTTTGTTTACATCCCATTAAATTTAACATAAGCATCTTCGAACAGCCCCATGTGTTGTACTGGAGTTTTCATACTCACTGTTAATGCACTGTATGCAACTAATAGACAATAATGAAAATTACTTTTTTGAGCGTGTTTCATAACGCTCTGGACGTGTGATTTAATTTATCTACACTTTCCTTTTCTCCTCTGTATTCTTCTACATTTTTTAAAGACTTTAACACATGTTTGTTCAGTGTAGTGATCTTACCATAGTAACATTACTATATTTGTCTGATTACCTAACTGTTATGTTAGGTACAAAATCAGTTTCTCATTTGCTTCTTTAATAATTATAGAATTTTCCTTCAAGTACCTCCTTCACGCAATGACTTTTGTTGTTCAAGAAGTCGTTCCAAAGGAGAAGGTCCGGGTCCAGACCATAAAGACTGTTGATTAAGCCTAGTCTTCATTTGATCTTGACTTGAAGGATTAGATATTTGAGAACCAGAACCCCATGTATTGCCACTAAATAGAGAATAAGTATTTCCAGTTGTGGTTGATTGCACGGGCTTCTGATCCACCTATATAACAAAAGTATTTATATACAAATTTATAATTCATATTATGCTTGCTTTTATATAAATGATTACAAAAATGATGCTACATACCTCATATGCTCTAGAGTCTTCAAAATTACTTCCAGTTCCAAAATGTCTATCAGGTATAGAATTGTGTTGGTAATTGTTACTTGACATTAAAGATCTATTATTCATGTTCCCAGAATTATTAGGTACATTATTCCAATTTTGGAAAGTATCTGCAGTGCATGAATCCTTATGCATTTGTGTTCCTCTTGCAGCTCCCCACCAAGCTACTGGTGGTTGAGGAGGTTGAGTATCTTTCCACAAACCAAAGTCAGTAGATTCAAAATTTTGGTAAACTGGATAATTACTTGTAGACTGCTGCTGATTTTTAGGTGTAGCAATTTGATTTGAAAAAGGAAAGTCTACAATGTCAGTATTTTTGTTATACATTGTTGGCGATAATTGTTTTTGCGATGCATGGCTAAAATTATTCTGAGTATAAATACCCTGATTAAAATTAAGTTGATAATTTGTTATATTATTTGGGCTTAATGAAGTGTTTGGTATGCTTGTAATATTAGCAACTTGTAGATTTTTTTGATATGTATTCAATGTTGGTATTGTAGAAATATTGTTTGCAATGCTTGTCGCAGGCATGTTAATCTGATTTTGTGTAGATATTCCATTTGATCTTACATTATTTGGAATAATATTTGGTTGTTGAATACCTAAATTGTGATTTTGCTGTTGTCGATTTATGTTTATATTTTGTTGTAGACCAGTATTTGCAGTTTGTTGTACATACATATTTTGAGATATGTTTGGCATAATACTTTGCTGTGCAGTAGACGATATTCCTACATTTTGCTGCAATAATGAATTTTGAGGTACATTTTGTACCATTCTTTGAAGAAGTGGTCTGTTCTGATTCATGATATGCTGTACACCCAAATTTTGAGCCATTGCCGGAGGTGTTTTGTTAAGTTGTCCCTGTAGTGCATAATTTGGCATATTTGCTATGTGTCCAGACATAAAGTTTTTTGTAAATTGTGGATTCTGTACATTAAAAGATTGACTTTGATAACAAAGTGATCCCAAGGTTTGTGACTGCTGGCCAAATTGAGATAGGCCGGATGCTTGCAGTAATGTATCTGAAGATTGTTCTTGAGAAGGAACTTGATTAACCTGTGGTGCCGGTTGTATTTTTGTAGATTTTAATTGATTTGAATTGGTTATAGGTTGACTTTGGATTGCAACCGTAGCACATGGCATTAGTGGAAGTCTATTTTGAACAGTGCTTAATGTATTTGTATTCACTTTTGTTGGTTCTGTAGTTATTGGAATGTTCTTATTTCCTGTAGGTTTAATTGGAGAAGCAGTCGTAGTTGTTTTTACTTTATCACTTTCTTCTTCGATACATACTGGTGAAACATTTTTAAATGTAACTTGCTTTTGTTCTGTTTCTGCACGTCGCATTATAGCTTGCATTGCAATATTTTGCCTTGGTTTTCGAGTTGAAGGCAAAGAATTTAGCTCAACAATATTAGTATCAGTTGTATTACTTATTGAATCTCTATTTCGCTCTAAAGAGCCTTGTGGCTTTAGAATGCCTACTCTTCGTTCCTCTAATTCAGTTAAGTAAAAAGAATATTATAAAAATATTATACATACAATATATAAACTAATATACAATATTTAAAATCTCTTATAACTATAAAATAACTCACGAGCATTTTCTGTTATATCAATTTCTGCAGATCCTTTACTACTAGCTGATTCAGATAATACAGGACTAGCCGGTATAACTGGTTTTTCCTTACTTAAGCTGAGTTCCTCAAGTTCTTTCATTAACTCATTACTTGGACCAGTACCTTCACTCAGCGGTATAAATCTATTTGCTTCAGCTTGGTCACCCATTACAATGGCTATTAAGGGAGATCCATTAATTTGGTATTGCGTTAAAAAGTGCCCCAATTGAATTAAACGGACAGCACGAAGCTTATTTAATGTTGCGATGTCATCTACAATATCAGTATTTGTGAATTTTAAATTTTCAAAACTTTTTTCTAACGGTAGGAAGCCTTGCAAGTCCCGATCTTCTGGCAGTGGTACTTTAATATCTATTAAGGAAAACAAAATATGAGTTATTAATTGAATACTTTCCATTTACTATCTAATGATAATGTAACTTACATTGATCATATTTAAAATCCACAATGGATTGTTGCAAAGCATTTAATAGAACACAAAGACTGGGCCAAATTTGTAGTCTAGAAGTAAATGCTGTCTCTTCCAAAACTGTAGGATTTATGCGAATCCAATCAAGGCACAGTTTTACTTTAAAAAAATATATATATAGAATATAAATAAAATATACCTATATATTTCAAATATATAACGTGGAGAATAAAAATTACTTACTGGAAGGTAAAGCAAAATATTCAACAATGTGATTTTTGATAGTATAGACAGGTAACAACAATGCAGCTAAACTGCCAGAAATAAAATCTAAAATACAATTTTTAGCAAGTTTTTCATCGGTAGACAATTGGTCAGTTTTGAAGAATTCGGCTGCATCTGAAGCAATTCCTGTCGTATGCTGAAGAGCATATAAATTTATCACCAACATTTGTACAAGCATCCATGAGCTAAAACTTTCAGTAGCTACCAATGCTGTTAATGTCTCTGTTAATAATTTAACATATGAGGATGCAATTTTTAAATCTCCAAGATTATGTATAATGCCGTGAAGTTTTAAAAACACCGTCACATATTCTTGCGCACTTAATTTAGTTTTTCCTTCAATATTATAAGAATGATCATTTAATGCAGACGATAAAGTTTTCGCAAGATTAGCTGTTGCTACAGGAAATGGATGTTTCACAGTAACAGAACGTGCATAATGAAATACAGTTCCTAATTTATCTCCACGTGATGTTTCAAGAAGAGCTAATTGGTTATATGGCTGTCCACTTGTTGGTGATAATGATACAGCATGTCTGTAAAATAATTCAGCTTGTTGGCTTTCATTTCTGTAACGAGCAATGTCTCCTAAGTGTACAAGGCAATATTGGCACGCATAAAAACAAGATGATTTGTGAGGTGTTGATAATTTTTCAACAGCTTTCCATGGTGAAGTACAACCGTAAACATAGCCTTTCCTGAAATAAATTTGATTTATGCAATAAATATTTTATTGTAATAATAATAGAGCAATAACTACAAATAATATTATCTTATAATATTATAAGTCACTTTAATGTTAGTGTTATAATAATTACCGTCTGAATGGTAGATCTAAGTCAAAGGCTGTACAAATTTCTTGCAATAGTGTCAAATAAAATCCACTAGCTGCTTCTAAACACCAACTCAATAAGGCTTGAGATTCTCCACGTTTTGGATTTTTCCGATCTTTTGCTTGCGATTGCAATGTTACTATATAATTCTTAAAACCAAGATTCCAAAGCTCCTGTTCAACTTTCTTGTCCAAAGCGTACTCGAGATCCAAAATGAGTACTTGTTGATATATTTTTTGTAGTTGCTGTTGACACACCCAGGCATCATTATCATTCAATAGATCTTTACAACGTTGCACCTTATCCTTCAATGGTTCAGCTTTCCTGTATAATTAAAAAGTATTATGTTTTTAGCAGAGATGAGTATACAATTTTGTAAACATTAAATATATTTATATATATATATATGAATTATTTCTTTAAAATACACATATGTTTCACTCTTACTTCAGAGCTTGGACAGCTGCTTTTAGGCCCATATTCTGTGCACCCTACTCTTAAAACTGATATGTTTCACCTGTTTAACATTCCAATAAAACATACATATATATGTATTTATATATATGTATGTATATCATCTGTTATTAATATGGTAAGAGTAATAAAAATAAATTTGGTTGCTTAATATATTATTGTGAAGATATATAGTTGTTCTGAAATCAAAATGTATTTCAGTTAGAAAATATTCTTATTTGCAATTATGCCAAGAGCATGTTTTTTTAATTTGATTTAAACAAATATACTTAACCAATATTTTACCGTTATTGATGATTACACTATTTATATCAAAAAACATAACATTAAAATGAATATTTAATAGTAATTAGATGTTAATCATAACTTTGGACACGTATTACTACATTGTTTTTGTACTTTTTATGAATTGTCAAAAATGTTATTTTGAAAAAATAAACAGTAAAAAAAAGTATGCAAAGAAATTAAAAAAAAATGTTTAATAGTTAAAATTTAATAAAGATCGTCATATCGAATAAGTGCTTGTTTAACTAGTTTTAACGATATCATGGATGCTATGTTTACAAATAATAAATTTAGTAAGGCATAAAATATTGTGCTGCAAAAATCGACAAACATTAAATTAAAAAAGCATGTAAAACTTTAACATTTATAATATATCCATTATGATTATAAATTATAGGTTAATTTCAATGTGGCGATAACATATCTACACAACGAAACAATTAGATATTAAAAAAATAAGCACTCGATTTTGCCATATTAACATACAAATATTAGAAGCTTCGAAAAGAAATCCTTAGATTAATATCAAACTCACTTTCACATATTTACGTTAAAAAGAATCATCGTCAAATACACGAAATGACGGATGAATGTTCGGAGTGTTCCGTGTATTGAAAAACTGCGCCGCCCTTGTGACAGATTTTCAAGTTACTTTTCCTGGAAAAAGAAAATATTAGAATTGTTATATATATTTCTAGTAATTATTTTGTTTATAAATTATGAAAATCATTGATTGTTTCTATACGTCATAATAGCAACATTGTTTTTTTTAATATTTTTATTCTATTATATTTGTAAAACAATTTAATACTTATATAATTAATGTAAATATATATTTTTAAACGTGCATTTATAATTTTACTAAAATGTTTTATTCTAAAGTAAGATTTTCATCGAGTAATTTAAAATTATATAAATATTTGCAGAAACGATTTCAAAGTGTAAGTGTGATTCTTATTATTTTTCATTAATTTGCAAGTTTAGTACAAATATTCATATGTTTATATATATATATTATTTTGTTAAATACAACGTGTGTGTGAATCTATCATAGACCCATAGGCAACAAAAATATATTATACAATGTTTATTTTAAAAATAAAATCTTTTATACAAAAGTTCAATAGTATTATATTTAATATCTATAAATATTATAAGATATAAAAATATAATAAACATAAATAAGTATATATACATATATATATATTATATTTAAACAGTGAGAAACAATATTAGTTTTACTTTTAGAATACTTCAACAACCAACATTACTGAAAATAAAAATGTAGATTTAGAAGCTAAACGAAAAGAAATTATGTCACGTGGTTTACCTAAGAAAAAACCTATCAAAGGTGTAAAACAAATTCTTATTGTTGCATCTGGAAAAGGTGGTGTTGGTAAATCAACGACTTCTGTAAACTTAGCAGCAGCATTAAAAGTTATAGAACCTAAAAAATCAATTGGCATATTGGACGCAGATGTTTTTGGACCTTCTATACCATTAATGATGAATTTAAAACAATCACCTTTGTTAAATAAAGAAAATCTTATGGAACCATTAATCAATTATGGTATCAAATGGTAAATAGTGATCATATATTAATAAATTATAATGTAATACTTAGAATCTAAATTGTGATCAGTAGATAAAATTGTTTGACTTTATAAATGGAAAACATTCTAATAGAATTAATGTCATAGTATGTCCATGGGATTTTTGATCGATGAAAAATCTCCTGTTGTTTGGAGAGGTCTTATGGTAATGAGTGCCTTAGATAAATTACTGCGTCAAGTAGCATGGGATCCTTTGGACTGTCTCATTATAGACACACCACCTGGGACTGGAGATACTCATTTATCATTGATCCAAAATATTTGTATCACTGGTGCATTATTAATAACTACACCGCAAAGAGCAGCTTTAGATGTAACACGACGAGGTGCTAAGATGTTTGAAAAATTAAATGTACCTGTTTCTGGTATTGTTGAAAATATGAGCTCCATTTCTTGCCCAAAATGTATGACTGAAATACCTATTTTTGGTAATAAAACAGAAGCATTAGCTCGTGAACTCGGTAATACATTGTTATAAAATATAATTTTAAAGTTATTATACATATAATTTGTAAATAAGATTATACAATTTTTGTACAGGTGTAAAAATATTACAAAAGATTCCTTTGCATGAAGATATTATGGATAGTTGTGATAATGGAAAACCAATAGTATTATCTGCTCCTAATAGTGTCCAAGCAGAATCTTATATAAAGCTAGCAGAAAATCTTATGAAATTTTTAAAAGAACAACCACTTATTGAAGAATGATTAACAAAAGGTACATTAACATTATTTATGTAATATTATTAAACTAATACCAAAGAGAATAAATGAATATATATTTATATAATTAAATAAGAAATGAAGAACTATTTATATTTTCATTAATTTGATTTCGTTAATAGAAAAATACAAAGGGGCAATAATAGTAGTATATTTGAACAGGTGAATCACAAATCTTACTCATTTCCCCCTCTATCTTACTCTTTTCATCTCTTCAAAAGTGGGGATAATAAAATATGTTGTAATATTTTTCATTTTGATGTCATATTGTATCTAGTTATGGTATTTCTTCGCACAATACAGAATTTACAATTGTCAATATTATCTTGGAAAAATTTATGTAAATTTATAATTTGATTAATATAATATACACATTTTCCAATAATACAAAAATGATAATATAGCTGATTATAAATTTTTAATATGTTTTTTTAAATGTGTATCATTGTTATTTATTTTATTTATTTTCAGCATCCAAAATGGACAAAGTTGCTACCAGTATACATTCTAGCGTGGATGCTGAAGTATTTGATGTTCCTATGAACGTTATCATTAGACCATTTCCTCCAGATGTTAATGAAGAAAAGGTTCAAAGTTTAATAAATACTTTAAACAATCCAGAAACGGAATCCTTAGTACCACCAATTGATATATTATGGATTAAAGGCAGTGAAGGTAATAAATATATACTAAAATATGTATATTGAATGAAATGAGGTTAGAAACAAAATAGCTTTTAAATAGTTATAAGTATATTAACAGTTGTAAATTCTGTATAGGCGGAGATTACTATTATTCTTTTGGTGGTTGTCATCGGTATACCGCTCATAAACGAATTAACAAACCGTTTATAAAAGCAAAATTAATTAAATCTACTGTAACAGACTTGCGGGCCTATCTTGGAAATTCTACTCCTAATCTGAAATAAATATGACATAGAAAAATGTAAAATTGACAACAAATGTTTTTACAATTAATTTGTAAAACAGTATTCATACAATTATAAATAAGTGTATTTTAAAACTTATCTTTATAAAATTTTACAGTAAAAAGGAAAACACGTATATATCATATATTATTTTTTATATTATCTTTTTGTGCTTAATCTACATTTTAAAGTTACAAACGTTATTACAAATTTGTTTTTTAAAATTTATCAATGATTAAATCTATAGAATAATATTTGTAAGTATTATATTATGTACACGTATAAACAAAATGGATTTGCACTTAGGCATATTTACAAAATTTCATAGTATTAAGTAGTATCAAATTTGATAGAATGACATGATCACCATCGAATGATGATAAAGCATTCTAATTACACAAATTGTCATTATTATGAAATATAAATATATGCGTATATATATTAGTCTATTATTTAAATACGATAAACTATATACTATTAATTATAAAGAACAAGAAATGTAATAATTATATTAGTTCTGTTTATTATTATTATTATTATTATTATTAACGAGATATATCTTCTTTTATATATACTCTACAATATTGTAGAAGAACATTTTGTATTATTTAATAAACTCTACTAATAAATAATGCAAGTTTTTGTAAGAGTGCATTAATGCAATATATATATATTTATTATTTATATTAAATTAGGACGTCTCAAAAGTTTCTTGCTTTTTCTTACTAACAAGGAGAGGAATCTATGAGATATATATATGGTTATATAAAGAGTAATGCCAATATGCATATCAAATTTCATTGTAATGTTGGATTTTCCTTATAAAATTTTGAACCTTATAAAGTATACGCACATTGTCTGAACAATTATAATACGACTCATAAAAGTTGTCATACAAAGTATAGTTTGTGAATATAAAGTAAAAAACTTTTGGGATGCCTTAATATTCCATTCCATATATTATGCACTTTCTTTATATAATATTTTAGAACAGTTAGTTATCTATATTTGTGCAGAAAATTGCACTAATTTTTATCATGTGATATATTGAAACACATGCAAGTATCTTATTACGTATGGTGTATAATGTAAAGACATTATGAATATAAGATAGTTTAATGATAATCATTAATACGAAAATTAACGCTAATGATAAGAAATATTTTTTAATTAAAAAAAATCTGTTTTTGTTTTTGAATTTCTATTTTTAATAATTTCTTAATTATTATTCTTTACATTATCCAAACGAAATCCAGTAATAAATTTTTCTTTTAAAAGAAGATTTGTATCTTTACTGTGATAATGTTCTTTAGATCTTTGAGTATAAGTTTCCTTTAAGTTTTTTGTATTCAATACATAAGGATCATTTTCTTTTATAAAATAAGGTTTGTGTGTTCTAGATATATTTACTGTTGTTGCATCCACATCATTTGCAGTTTGGTCCTGATTGGTGCTATTTCCTGATTCATTACTTTTACGCAAATGAAAAGGTATGACAGATTGTTGTAAATGTAATAATTGAGTATTTGTTACCTCACAATCAATTTGCATCATAGTAATGTGATTTGCAGGAGTTGAATAAGTTTCTAAAAAAGAAAACATTTTTGTTAATTAATCACTCTTTTCATTCATTTTCTAGATATATACATATAAATACAAGAAAATAAATAGAAAGAAAATTAAATAGTTACCATTCAAAGGAACAGCAGGAAGGACCAGTGCCATTTTTGGTCTAGATGTGTTATTTTTTCTTGAAGCTGGCAGTAATAAGTGCTCACCGCTGAACCATACAACATAAAAAGTATCATCCTTTCTTCCTAATGCTTCGAATAAAGAAGCATGTTCTCTGAGAATAGGAGAAAATACATCAACTGCGTTAGTATTTGATGTATGAATATTGTTAATCTTATGCGTATCTTTTGATTTGATTTTTCTTGAATAACGATTTCTGTCATGAACTCTTTTCTTTTCTATAGATAATTTTGGCAAGATAACTTTTCCTAATAAATTTTTATTTAATTCAGTTTTGGTTGGTGTTGTCCAATTATCACGATCAGACTCTCCGCCTATCCATCGTCTTAATTCGTAATCTAAACGTATTGATTCACTCTGATTGATGTACATAGGACACATAGGATGATGCATTGTCTTATTTTTGTCATAATCATCTCCAAGTTCTTCGTCAATACGTGTATCAGGATTTGCCCATAGTAAACTTCTACCATGTCTGATATTTGGTAGAACTGTTGGTAAGTCTGTTGACATACTATTTAATTCCTTGTTGGGTGGAAATATATTTCTACAAGTAAAGGAAGTTATGCAGATATTACTTTCAATTTAAACAAAAATTTAACTGTTATATTATAAATACTTACACTAGACCATTAAAATTAAGCGACACCATCAAAATTATTCCCAAAAGGAAAACAGCATTTTTCTTATTTACATTAAGATTAACGTTTCCAAATTTGTTGTTTTCTTCAAATGCTGATAGCCTAGTTTTCAAAGCTAAGTTTTCCTATAAAGACATAAACAATAAATTATTATTAAGGTACCATTGAAATTACTTCTTGAAGACATTAAAATTATTCAAAGTCAAATGTAATAATAATATGTAATAAAGTTAGTCAATCATTCTTACAGTTTTAAGCTTGTTATTTTCCTCTTGAAGATCACTTATTTGTTTTTCCAGAGAACAAACATATTCTTTTTTCTTCTTTCGTGAAAGGCAAGCAGATTCTCGATTTTTGATCATTCTTTGTTGTCTCTTTAAAGCTTTCATTTCACATTCTTGCTTACCAGAGAGATTATTAAACTCTAGCATTTCATTTTTGATAACAATAGGAGTACAATTTGATGTCTCATTTTTGATAACAATAGGAGTACAATTTGATGTCTCATTTTGTATAACAATAGGAGTAGAATTTGGTGTCTCATTTTTTACAACAATTGATTCACAACTCACTGGTTCATTTTTCACAATAATAGAGGTATGATTGCCAGTTTTATTTTTGACAATTACAGAAGCATTGGGTACATTAACTACGGATTCTCCGTTCGATGCATGAAGGTTAGGTAATGTATTGATAATTTTTATATTATTTTGCTGCTGTAATTTAATTCCGTTATTTTCTGTCTTTATATTATTTAATGACGTAGATTTCACATTTATTGGCCCACGTATTTTAATAGGTTTTTTTAATGATAACGGATCTATTTTTAAAGGATATGTTTGATTTTGTTTTGCTTTTTGTGCTAAAACAGCAAAATCTTCAGCACTTAATATTATAGTTTTTTGAGGTGGTTCTGTAAAAATTGTAATACACATATTAGTACTAAATACATATGAAAATTGAATATATAAATATAAATTTGTAATTTTGAGCTTATTATAAGCTTTATAACCCCCGGACTACGAATTATTTCAACCTAATATAAGACAGCATTTTTCAAAACTTGCGCCAGTATTTCATTGAGCGCAGTACCGGAATTGCTGACTTTTCCGTTCAGCCGGCAGCGAACAAATGTTCCTAAAATACAGGGTGATCCCCGACTTCACGCACTTATGTGCTAGTTACTTTTTTTTTCTTTAAAATGTTTTAACAAATTTCATTGAAATTATATTTTACTATATCTCATTAAGACTACATTTATTGTTTAACTTTATTACTGTCGGTCCGAGGAACTGACGCCGGTCAAACGAAAAGTATAGTACCAGTCCCCAGGGATCAATGCTGACCACGTGGAAAATTCACTTCCGGTCCCCGTGAACTGGCGCCGCGTTCAACGTGTTAATGCATACTTACAAACCCTCCCACTTATTACTCGAAATTCTAAAATCTACTATCCCTTAATCGTCCAAATGGACAAGTCTTTTAATATCGCGTTAGAAAAGGGGGTGTGGATGAATTATTTATATTCTTACCATCACCTCGTGATATAACTCGGGTACTACCCTTTGGTTGAATGCAAACACGTTTTGCAGAATTATCACTAGCGACTTTATACTTAGTAGTTTTTATTTCTTGTGAACTAAGAGGTATCAATTTTACTGGTTGGACGATAGGCGAATGTGTTACAGTTGGTGGAGATTTTGGAGAAGAAATATATGGTGGTGAAATAGGTGGTGTTTCTAATGCGACCTAACAGATATGTAAAGACATATGTAAATAGAATTTGAAATCATATAATAAATTTAGAATAATATATAAAATTGATTAAAATACCTTTAAATCTGTTGCTTGAAGATTAGATAAAACGTCTTGTTGCCATTCAGATACACTTGATTCTGAATGACTTGGACTAGAGAAGGGAAGTAGATGTGTACGAGGACTAAATGGTTCCAATTTATATTCAGAAATTCCATCTTTCGAGTCTAAATCTAATAATAAAATGAATGATAAAAAAATATGTCATTTGTTCTTGTATTTCAAATGAAATTTATTTCATAAAATTACCTATCTCCTCTTTGACGAAACACGTGCTGAAGTCTTCTAACATTTTAGAAGAAGATTCTGTATTTTTGTCTACATCTTTATTGTAATTTGGACTGTAAGATATGTCATTTAATATGTCATCAGATAAAAGAGGTATCCCTAATTCAGAGCTTAGACATTGAAGAAAATTATCGCCCAAGGAATTACTGTCATCTGTAAAAATATACATCAAAATATATACAATATATACAATTGTATAAACAAAAACAAATTGAATAAGTAGTTACTTTTAAAATGAAAAAAAAAAAAAACAGAAAAACAGAAATTAGGAAAAATAAATATTTCAATTTAGGAATGCGTAAAAATTGGCTCGCCTACGATCTTGGCTATTTAAATCTACATTCTCTTTAACTGTTTAAAATTCGTTACGAACCGGTACATACCATATATGGAAAGTTGAAAGAATTTATTTTTTGAGAATATTTAAAGAAGCAACTTTTGTACTGCGATTATTAGGATGATAATAATATTAAAAATTACATCTCAATTTTCATCGTGATTAAAAGATAACAGAATTATCTACAAGATTTTGTTTCGTGCGTATAAAAATAAATATACGCGTATAAATAATTCATCATAAATAAATTGTTCTTATTAATGTTTCGAATAATAAAAGAAAGAAATATTTTCTGTATTACTTTATGCACGATTGAAATATGTTAAGTTGAAAGATTATCTATGATTGTAATAAATATACATTCGGGTAACGATATAACAGGCAACGTGCTATACTGATAAGTCTCATGCTTGCGATAGTTGAAATTAGTATGCATCAAGGTTGTTGCTATTATCTGTATATTTGGAGAAGCGTAAAACATATGTATTATACGTAAATACAAAAAAAAAAAAGAAAAAAAAGAGACAGTAATTGTGAATAGTTTTATATTCAATATTATATTTAGAATTATTCGATCTGTAGATTTATTTTTAATTTATTAATTTGTAATTATATATTATAATTTATATTAAAATGATTAAAATTAATTTTATAGCAAATCTTATTTTTTATTTGTTTTTATATATGTGTATAATAATAATAACAATTAATAAAAAATAAATTTAATTATTAGATAATAGCTCATAGTTAAATGTTATTATACGTGTTATATATATATATATATATA